TCAATCACTACACCCTGCAAGGCAGCCCTGAATGCTTTCAGTTTATATCTGAGGACAGTGAGGCCCTTGACTGTCCCCCCACCCCCATTTGCCAGGTCACTGGGCTAGTGTGTGGCAGAGGCAGGATTCAAATCCAAGTCTGCCTGATGGGCAGGCGCAGGTTCTGAGCCAGCCTGCATCCCGTGAGCCCAACTGCTGCCTTCCTCTTCCCACTTGCCCCAAGGAGTCCTGGGATAAGTCCTGGGCTCCAGGCTTTTCCAGAGCCCCCAGCTGTGCCAGGCAGGGCTGGCCTTTTACTCACTGTGGCCTTTCCTCCAGTGGGGAGTTCACAGACAGGGCAGCCCTCACCTGGACTCATTTGTGCTCAGAGTCCTTTAGGAAACTCCCTGTCTCTGTGCCTGTTTCCCCAAAACATGTCTGCTGCTGCCCTTTACATGAGGTTCATTCGTTCACTTTTGAAACTGAGTTCCCAGGTAGTGCAGGCCCAGGAAGGGGAGTCAGGGCTGAAGAGCGAACGTGACCAGTGGTGTGCCACCCACAGGGAACTCATTCCAATGGGGGCTATGGCATCCTGAAGATGCCAGTTTATTTTTTTTTTAAGATTTTATTTATTCATGAGCCACACACACACACACACACACACACACACACACACACAGAGGAGAGAGAGAGAGAGAGAGAGAGAGAGAGAGAGAGAGAGAGGCAGAGACAGAGGCAGAGGGAGAAGCAGGCTCCATGCAGGGAGCCCATTGTCGGACTCGATCCCTGGTCTCCAGGATCAGGCCCTGGGCTGAAGGCGGTGCTAAACCACTGAGCCACCAGGGCTGCCCCTTTAGATGCCAGTTTAGAAACACAAATTGTCTTGAGGCACCTGGCTGGCTTAGTTGGTAGAGCATGTGACTCTTGATCTTGGGGTCATGAGTTCAAGCCCCACGTGTGGTGTAGAGATAACTAAAATTAAAAAAAAAAAAAAAAGACCCATGGCCTCAAACTAGAAGTGACATTTTGGTTTCAAAATCTCTGGGAGAGGGCAGCCTGGGTGGCTCAGCGGTTTAGCGCCGCCTTCAGCCCAGGGCCTGATCCTGGAGACCCGGGATCAAGTCCCACATCAGGCTCCCTGCATGGAGCCTGCTTCTCCCTCTGCCTGTGTCTCTGCCTCTGTGTGTGTGTGTGTGTGTGTGTCTCATGAATAAATAATAAAATTTTAAAAACAAAAGATACCAAAATCTCTGGGAGAGGGTGCCTGGGTGGCTCAGTGGTTGAGCATCTGCTTTTGGCTCGTGTCATGATCCTGGGGTCCTGAGATCGAGTCCCACATTAGGCTCCCCACAGGGAGCCTGCTTCTCCCTCTGCCTTTGTCTCGGCCCCTCTCATTAATAAATAAAATCTTAAAAAAAAAACCCTCTGAGAAGAGCCATTTATTGTCTATCTCCTAGAACAGAAGATTCTAGAAGCTAGGGTCTGGAGTTAGAAGCACCATTGTGTCAAGTCCTCAAGACAAATTGTCTGGCTCATCCCTTGTGCTGGGTGCATTTTTTGATTTCCATGGTGGAAATTCTCTCTCCTGTGGCCCCTTGCAAGCTACCATTGTAATGTTCCTGAACAGAGTGGAGAAGAGCTACACAGGCAGCTCTCACACCTGCCACTGCTGGTGCTGTGCCTGGAGCAGTGCTTGGTACACAGCAGGTGCACAATAGATCCTTGGTGAACAAATTAATGTTCTGTTACATTTGTAGGAACATCCTAGGAGCTATTTATATTGTAATTCAAACTACTGTTTATTGAGCACTTGGTGTGAACCAGAAAGGACTTTAAGATCTGACCCTCCACAACCCTCCTCAGGCTGTGTGAGGATGGATCTCATGTGATAGAAGCCCTGAGGTTCATCATGACCTGATGTAAATACAGAGGACTCTGAGGTGAACAGAAGGTGTGGATATGGATGTCAGGATGGGTTCAAGAGACCTGGGCTGCCATGGACTCACTGCACACACTAAGGTGGTCACCCCTCCCCTTGCAATCTCCCCTTTGATCAACAAGGGGGTTGGAATCAGCTACTGCTGTGTAACAAGCCAGCCCAAAATGTAGCGCCTTAAAACCATCACCATTTTATGGCTCAAGATTGGCAAATTTAGCTGGGCAGTTCTTCTGGGTCACTCTGGGCCTGTATGGTCCAAGCAGTCTCCTCCAAGTCTGAAAGTTAGCTAGGGCTGTTGGTCAGGGTGCCCATGCTCTCCGCCATATGGCCTCCCAAGCCACGGACCCCAGTTTCCTTCATGGCAGCAGCTACATTCCAAGAGGGAAGTCCCAAAGCTACAGGGCTCAAGCCTCTGCTTGCATCACGTTACTCTTGTCCCACTGGCCAAAGCAGATCATGCAGCCAAGCCCAGAGCTGATATGGGCGAGGCCCATACGAGGACACAGATTCCAAGAGGCATGGTTTGTGGGGGCCATGATTCTGACAGTCCACCGTCTGCCACAGAATGGGCCAGGGTTCCCCTCGGCCTTCCCAGCTCTGGCCTCTGGGATTCTGAGCTTCCCGGGACATCTTACACTGGGAAGGAAGTGCCCAAAAACTGATTGGGGCCGGGGCACGGGGGTGGGGTGGGGGTGTCAAAAAGACCTAGGAGCCAGCTCAAAGGGCCTCCCGCTGGTCAATTTTGTGACCATTTGAGCATCAGAATGACTGCAAGCAACTGTAAATTATCAAATAAATCAAAATGAGTGAATCCATTCTGGCGTTCAAAAAAGAAGGCGGAAAACTCACTGCAGAATGCAATTCAGCAACTGGAAAATAAAATACCGAGACATGCCGTAAAATGGATGTGATCTCAAAAATACTTTTCTAGGGGTACCTGGGAGGCTCAGCGGTTGACCATCTGCCTTTGGCTCAGGGCATGATCCCGGAGTCCCAGGATTGAGTCCCACATTGGGCTACCTTTGAGGAGCCTGCTTCTCCCTCTGCCTATGTCTCTGCCTTCTCTCTGTGTCTCTCATGAATAAATAAAATCTTTAAAAATATATTTTTCTATATAAAGAGGCTAAGCACAAAAGACCACATATTTATGATTCCATTTATAGGAGATGTCCAGAAAAGGCAGGTTGAGAGAGAAAATAAATGGGTGAGGCCCTGGGGGCTGGGGAATTTACTGCAAATGGGCACATGGGGTCTTTCTAGGGTGACGAGACTCTTTCTAAAATGATACTGTGCTTACAGTTGCCCACCTCTGTAAATTTACTTTAAAAAAAATCAAGTTGGGGTGCCTGGGTGGCTCAGGCAGTTGAATGTTTGACTCTTGATCTCAGCTCAGGTCTTGATCTCAGGGTCATGAGTTCGAGCCCCATGTTGGAGTCCATGCGAGGTGTGGAGCCTACTTAAGAAAAATGTTTTTAAATATAAAAAAATAAAAATAAAAGATTGTTAAAGCAAGTGTACTTTATGGCATACAAATTGTACCTTAATATAACTGTTGAATGAAAACTTATCTGCCAGCATTGGAGGTAAGATAAAAAAGAGAACAATAAAAGCATTTGTCCTCTTCAGGTGGAACTGAAAGCTACCTCCAGTTGATCAGAAGATGTTTTTCAGATTCCAAGCAGATACTACAGTAACCAGTAATTCTTCCCTCGGCATGATTATGGCGTTGTGGTTCTGTCAGAAAGCTACCTTCTTTAAGATCTGCCTGTTCAAGTGTTTGGGGGTGAAGGGAGTACATGTCTGACACTCTGAAATATTTTACATAATATTTATAAGAAGTAAATTTGGCAAAATGTACATTAATGACTCAAGGTGTTGGTTTGATGGGCGTCCTCTCTAGGGTTTTCCTTTTAATTTTGCTGTACATTTAAAATTTTCAGGGGCATGTGGATGGCTCAGCTGGCTAAACGTCTGCCTTCTGCTCAGGTCATGATCCCGGTGTCCCTGGACAGAGCCCCATGTGCTCAGCGGGGAGTCTGCTTCTCCCTCTGACCCCCATCTTGTGCTCCTTCTCAAATAAATACATTTTGGGGGGAAGATTTTATTTATTTATTCATGAGAGACACACAGAGAGAGGCAGAGACACAGGCAGGGGGAGAAGCAGGCCATGCAGGGAGCCCGTCGTCAGACTCCATCCCGGGTCTCCAGGATCACACCCTGGGCTGAAGGCGGCGCTATACCGCTAAGTCACCCAGCTGCGCCATAAATGAAGTCTTTAAAACAAATTTATATTTTCTTTTTTTTTAAAGATTTATTTATTTATTTATTTATTTATTTATTTATTTATTTATTTATTTATTTATTTATTTATGATAGACAGAGAGAGAGAGAGAGAGAGAGAGGCAGAGACACAGGAGGAGGGAGAAGCAGGCTCCATGCTGGGAGCCCGACGTGGGACTCGATCCCGGGACTCCAGGATCGCGCCCTGGGCCAAAGGCAGGCACTAAACCGCTGAGCCACTCGGGGATCCTCTTAAATTCAATTTTCAAAAGAAGGGTTTTTTTGAGTACCTTTCCAAAAAAAACTCCCAAAATCTGACTACCTGTGAAAACATTTCCAGGTGTGGCCAGCTTTGATCTGGTCCTTTCCTACCCGTCCCAGCCTTTTGCCTGGGATCTCCCAGGCTGAGCCGCTACAGTGACTGAACCTGAGTCTGCGCCCTGCCCCCAGAGCTGGCTCAACCCTGGGTCTTACAGATGTGGACACTGAGGCCCAGAGAGAAGCGATCTTACCTAGATGCTGCCTGAGCTGGATCCACAGCCAAGCTGCCCCCCCCAACTGTGCCCTTAAGTACTGCGCTGACCACTCCCCCACTTCACCTCCCATCCTGGGGGGATCCCTGCGTTGGGACCCATTGACCCTGCCAGGCTGCCAAGTGGCCCCAAAGGGGCTCTAGGCCCCCACCAGGCTTCCCTCAACCTTTGCCCTCCTGGAAACTCCACCCACCACACCCCAAAGAGCAAGTCCCCAGTGATGGCCCAGGAAGCAAATGGCCACACATGTACCCACCAGCATGGCCATGTGGAAGGACAATGTTTAAATCATTTATTTGGAAGTTGACGCACACACACTCTACCAAAAAAGGTGGAAGCTGCAACAAATCCAAGTGCCTGAGGCAGTGCATGGACGTGTAAACAAAGACAAAATGAAAATGCCACTCTGAGCGATTCAGGAGCAAATCAGAGTGGCTGGGGGCCCAGGCCCAAGATGACATTCACAGCGTAGGGTAAGTGCAAATGAATGGAATGTGGGGCTAAAGGGAAGGAGGGCCACCCCGGGCCTTCCCACCCAGAAGGCTGCTCCTTCCTGGGCACCAAGGTCAGAGAGTGTGGAGGACACAGGGTCCTCCAGTCTGGGGAGTAGGTGGGAGCATGCAGGCAGGGGGGTGGGATCAGAGCTGGTGGGCCAGGCCCACACCACCCTTCTCTGCTGCTTCTCTCTCTCTCCTGGGATCCCTTAGCCATTCAGGGGAGAAGGGCCCTGGTCTGAGGAGCCAGTCATCTGAAGTACGGAGACCAAGGAGGACTCAGTTTCTCTGGGAGGCTTCTTGGCCTAAAAGGAGCCAAACCTCGAAATAAAGTGTTAAGGCAATAAATAAAACATCCCACCTCCAGTGAAAACACTGTGAAAGAAGTGAGTCTGCAGGGCTGACGGCACCCTCCAGATGTGGGGACAATGTGGGGACGACTGTAGGACCAGCTGCTACACAGCTAGAGCATTTGTGCGTTGAGCCAAAGGCAAAGAGCCCGGCAAATGTTCTTGTCCTAATGAGGGCAGGGGATTCGGTCCAACCCTGTGGGTCCTCTGACCTCCCCGATGTGGTCCCTGGGCCCGCCACCGACAGCACAAGGCGACCAGCCTGAGATGAGCCCTGGTCGGAGCCTCCAGCTCAGCCCTAGCACCACCCAGGGGGTTCCAGGCTCACAGAGGCAGGTGGGTGGGATGGGAGGACCAGCCCCTCCTCCTCCATCTTTGGTGGCAAAGGGGAAAGAGAAATGACAGACTCTGGCAGGACGAGGGGATGTCAGAGGAATTCTGGTTTCATGCTTGGGTCTGCCAAGGGCCCAGACCCTGCCCAGATGTGAGCACACAGAAAGCAGACCCACTTCTATTCCACCCTTGGATAGTCCAGGCCTGCCACTCCACCGAGGTGCTCCCCAGGTACTCTGTGACCCCACCCTCCCTTACTGGAGCTGCAAGCTCTCTAGGGTGGTGGTAGCCAGGGACCGTCTAGCCTGGGTTTTCCTTCTAGCTCAGGCCACCTGTGGCCTTTACCACAGAGCCCGGCCTCCCCCAGCTTCTCTGTCTCGTCTCCCGTCCCCGCCCCTGTTGTCAGCAGCCCTGGGGTGTTGGGGTCCCAGATTCAGGGCTTCCCGGCTCTGCCTGTCCACCTCTCCTCACAATACCATCCCCTCTCCCACCACCTTCCTCTCCCTCTGGCCCCACAGGTCACTGGTCTGACCGCTGCTTCCCCTGGGGATAGTAGAGGACAGTCAGGCGGGCTCCCAGGGCCTCCAACCCTCTCCAAGGCAGTCTGTGGGGATTCCGAAATGGTGAGGAGGGACAAGGTCAGGGGCAACCACGCTTGGCCACAAAGGCCCAGGCTCTGCCACTGCCGATGGCCACAGATCCCCGAGCCCTTCCAAGCCAACCCAAAGGAGGGGAGGAGGCGGCCTTCTTATGGCCATTATCCACGTAGACGAGGCCCAGGCAGCACCCCTCCCTGAGCCTGCACCCACCGCTACTGCAGCTCCTCCAGAGGCCCGTTCTCTCGGGGCAGCACCCCGTTCAGGCCCATGCTGTTGGCCGCTGGCACCCCCAAGTAGCCAAGCAGGATTTCGCTGCGGCGCCGGGACAGCTGCAGGATGTCGTCCGCCAGTGCCGGCACGGAGGTATAGCGCACGTTGTCCAGGTCAAACATGTCCCTCAGGTACTGCACGATCTGGTGCTGGGGGCAGGGCTGGCATCAGGCCCCAGCTTTGGCCCTCTGCCCCAGCCCCCTGCACTGACGCCCTCCAGACCACCCAAAGCCCCTCCCCGGCTACCGGAGCCCTGACCTGTGCACAGGCTCCCGCTGTGCCCTCCCCAGTGCTTCCTCCGGACCCCTGTGGTCCAGGCTCCCTCCAGGCACCCCTATGTACCCCCTCTTGGGGAAAAGCCCAGGCAGGCCACGCACTCAGTTTACCTTGAAGAAAGCACAGACTTCAGAGAGCTGGGGCTTGGGTCCAAGGAAGCCAAAGGCTAGGACAGGGCTAACGTGCTCCGATACGGAGTAGAAATGGGAGATGAAGCCATCGGGCACCTGCAAAGGTGGCGAGGCTGAGGGCAGGGTCGGGGGCAGGGGCAAGTGCCGGGCCCTGGGGGCCTAGCAAGAGAGTAGGGCTTTGCAGGGAGGCCTGGCTCAGTCGCCTGCTTGTTGGGTGACCCCAGGGAAGCGACGGGGGCTTTCACCTCTGCAGAATGGGGGTAAACTCGAGGCTGCTGTGAGGACTGCATGGGGAGGGGGCGGGGTGGGCTCAGCACAGGAAGTGCCCAGAGTACTTGGCAGTGGCAGCAGGTATCAGCCGGGCAGCAGAGCCTGGCTGGCAGAAGGGAGCAATGGATCTCAGCCCAGATAGAGCGGCCAGTCACCGCCTGGGAGCGCAGATAACAGCAGCCTGTGGGTGGGAGGGAGGCTGCGCTGCCTGCTGGGGGTGGGGGGGCTGTTCCCACCCAGATGCCTCTACCAAGCCAGCCACCACCCCTTTGCACAGGCCCCTCCTCCCTCAAGGATGCCCTTTCCCTCTGCATCCTTCGACATCTCCCGATGGCCTATGTTGTGCTGGCCTATGCTGTGCTGGGAGGAGTTGGAGCAGACCTACATGTGCCTTTAAGGTCCTCCTTTAAGGTCCTCCTGCTCTGGGGGAGATGGAATGGCAGGACAGGGGGCCGGAGCTGCAGCTCACGGTGCTGGGGGCTCTGTGAGACCTCCCCGTGCCAGCCTCATTCCTCTGCCCACCCCACCTCTCCCCACCCTGCCCCCAGCCCAGGGGCCAGTGCATGCCGACTGGTCAGCTGAGGGGTGCACCACGCTCCGGGGCCCCGAGGGGGTCACTCACCATCAGCAGTCTCCTCTTGGCTTTCAAGACTGACCAGCAAGCAGTGGCCAGGGCCTAAACCAAAGACAGGAGCCCACCCAGGTTTCAGAGTGACAGGCCAGGCCTGCAGCCTCTACCTGTTCCCCAGCTCACACCACCCCAAGCAGGAAGATGCGGCTTGGTGCCTAAGTTTTGCTCTTCCTTCCCTTCAATTCGGAACTGGCCACACCTACATGTGAACCTTGATTCTAACCCCTACTGCTGCAGGGCATTAGCCGCTGAACTAATCTCTGGGCCTCAGTTTCCTTCTCTGTAAGATGGCCGTGACCTGGCACCCTCATCTCATTCAGAGATTGTGGGGGTCCACAGTCACTGCCTGCAAACTGCCTGAAGACCAGCCCAGGGTCACGCCTGCCTCACGGGGTCTTGCACTCAACTTCTGCTATTCCTTTCTTTTTCCTATGTTTTAGCTTAGTAAGATGCATTAAATCTAAGTAAAGTTAAAGGGAACCATGATGCAAAAGGAAAATGCAGGTTCTGAATGGGCGCAGGGAACAACGGGGTCCCCTGGGGAGGTTACTCCAGGGCAGGTGCCGGGTCCAGGGGCTGCACAGCTCTCGGGGGAGGGGTGGCTGTTGCCTGACAGGTGGGGGGCCCAGGCTTGGTGCCCAAAGCTGGGGATGGAGGAAAGCAGAGTCTGAGCCAATGCCGTGGGGCAAAGTGTGTGTGTGTTAGATCCGGAGGGCAGCCACCTACCGTCTCCTTGAAGCTGTCTGACAGCCAGCGGTTCCTCAGGACAGCGAGCACTGAGGACGGGGGGTTCTCCAAGTCCTCGAAGGCGTCCATGAGTATGAAGTCCAGCACAATATCAAAGAAGCTCATGCACACCACCTGTGAGAAGGCAGGGATGCTCTGAAGGCTGCAGGCCCACTGTCCAGATGGGAAGACCAAGTCCAAAGAGGCACAGGTGTGTGGGGGCCTGGGTGGGAACACATAGGTGAGTGGGCACATCTTTGGGCTGCAGTGGGGTACAGCTGGGGCCATCTCCCCCATGGCCCGGGCCCGCAGCAGGGCAGGAACAAAGGGCTGGCAGCCACTATGGGCCCATCAAGGCAAAGCTTGGCACAGGTACCCCTCCCTCCTCGAGGACCTCTAGTACAAGGGACCCCATGGTACTGGAGCTCAGCACAAACCAACTCACCCCACGGCCCTCCAATTCCAGCCGAGTGGTGGCCCAGGTCTCAGGCCGCAGGGCATAGCCCATCATCTCCTCGTAACTCTCCAGGAAGCCTTTGGGGCTCTGTGGGGAGAAACACAGCCTGTTCTGGTCATGAGAGAGGCTCAAAGATTTACTTGAACTAGATCCACAGGAACAGGCCCGTGGATGGACAAGCCAAGGCAGGGCTGAGGTCTATTCCTTAGCAGCAGCCACAGAGAAAACCAGGCAAGAAGTGTCCCCTGCCTACCACAATATGCCCCTCAGAGACTAGGGCACGTCTGGGAGAGATCCAACAACAGCACACCCCACAATGTCTCAGACCAACTTACAACCGGGCACCAAACATGTCCCAGGAGATGCACACACACTACAGCATCTGCTTACTTTGCAAAGAGGCATGAGGACAGGAGGTTGAGTCAAGCAGCCAAAGATTCAAATCTCCATGACCCTGGGTGTCACTGCTGAAATGGGAGAAGCTACAGCCCACACTCCTAGGCCTATTCTGGGGAAGTCAGTGAGCTCATGCATGTAACACAATCGGCCCGGTACCTGGACTTAAATGATGAATAGGGCATAATACCTGCCACTGCTATTGGGACACAGGACAGATCCTGCACTCTCTGGGGCCATGAGGTTGAGCTGGACTTGGGACACGGTGTGCACACACTGATGTGCACTGATGGAAATGGGAAGCTGGGATGTGCCAGGGTCTGTTCTAATAGGGATCAACTCCTCTAATTCACATGGTTCTAAGAGGGATGATCTAGTAGGACACCCACCTTATAGATGGGAATACTGAGGCTTTGAGAGATCAGTGGTACCCAAGAGCCAGGCAGGGTGGAGCTGACACAGAATAATAGTACGGGCATGTTTATAACACTTATAAAGAACCACAAGTGGAGGAGCCACCAGACAGATGTTCGCCAAAATGTGAACACGGTGGAGTGAGGGACAAGTTTTCTTTTTGCTTTCATGTGTTTTTTGGGCTTTTTTAATTTTTTTTATTTATTTATGATAGTCACAGAGAGAGAGAGAGAGAGGCAGAGACACAGGCAGAGGGAGAAGCAGGCTCCATGCACCGGGAGCCCGACGTGGGATTCGATCCCGGGTCTCCAGGATCGCGCCCTGGGCCAAAGGCAGGCGCTAAACCGCTGCGCCACCCAGGGATCCCTGTTGGGCTTTTTTAAAATGAGCATGAGGAGATCCCTGGGTGGCTCAGCGGTTTAGTGCCTGCCTTCGGCCGAGGGCGTGATCCTGGAGTCCAGGGATCAAGTCCCACATTGGGCTCCCTGCATGGAGCCTGCTTCTCCCTCTGCCTGTGTCTCTGCCTCTCTCTCTGTGTGTGTCTCTCATGAATAAATAAATAAAATCTTTAAAATAAAATAAGCATGAGTATTTTTATAATCATTAAAAAAAAAAAAACTACTTTCATTAACTTTCAAAGAGAATTTACTAGGGGCACCTGGTTGGCTCCATCGGTTAAATGTCTACCTTTGGCTTGGGTCATGATCCCAGGGCCCCAGGGTCAAGCACTGTGTTGGGCTCCCTGCTGAGCACGGAGCCTGCTTCTCCCTCTCCTTCTGCTGTCCCCCCTGCTTATGTTCTCTCTCTCTTAAATAAATAAAATCTTTAAAAAATATTTTTAATTTAAAAAATAAAGAGAATTTGCTAAGATGACCCTAGACCACAACTTAACCTCCCCAAGTCTCAGTTTCTTCACATGTAAAGGAGGACAATGAAGATAAGGGCTGGCAGCCAAGCACGTGTGACGCCATCACACGAGGCCCCCGGGACATGCCCACTCACACAGGAGGAGATGAGGCTTGGAGAGGGCACATGCTGGCTCATGGACATGCAGTCACAAAGTGGACTGATTTCACAAGTCCAGAGACTAGATGCTGCCCACAGAGCAAGCACCCTCCCAGGGGGCGTGTCCCTGCTCCACCTGCCTGCAATGATCAGACAGGGAATCGGTTCCCGCCTCAGTCCCAGGGCTGAGTGCTGGCTCTGCTCTCCAGAGCTGCTAACCAGTCATTTGAAAAAATACATCCCACACTGGGGTGGAGGCAGAGCGAGCGAGGCCACACCTCCAGGCCCCTCAGCGGCCACAGAGAACAGGCCAATCTGCTAAGCTCCTGGCACCTACATTAGCCTCACCTCCCCTTCCTTTACCTGTTAATTCCTTCACTGTCTTGGGAGGCCACAGAGAACAGGCCAAGGGCACAGCTGCGGTCAGGCCAACCTGGGTTCAAATGCCAACTCTACCCTTCCCGAGCGAGCCCCTGTCCTTCCCCAGGCTTGGTTTCCTTATCCACTGAGTGCAGACTATGGTCAGGACCAAATGAGCTATTGGCAACGTGAATAAAGCGCCAGGTTCATTGCTAGGTAAACGGCTGCTGAAGAGTAATTATTAACACTTATGGAGCACCTGTCCTGTTCCAGGCCCCAGGCAGGGCACACACTTGCTGTGCTGGGAGCACTGTGGTCCTGGCCCTCGTGGAGCTTGCCAAGTAGTGAGAAAGAGCAATCTGTAAACAGGATGCTGGGTGATGGGGCCATGCCAGCAGAGTGAGTCCAATGGCTCCTGGCGAAGCCCTCCTGGGGAGAGAGATGGCTCGAGCGGGAACTTAGAAGAGCGGGAACTTAGAAGACGAGGAACCAAGGAAAAGGGGAAGGAAGGGAGACCGGGGAGCTTCTAGACACTAGTAAAAGCCCCACTTCCTAACCCCAGTACCGGGTACACAGGGGTTCACCTATTCATTCATTAAATCCTGTATCTATAGGATTTAATACTCTTGTGTATTTTGTAATAAAGTAGTTAACAACAATAGCGCTGAGCCAACAGTGCTCCAGGTGCGGAGGGACCAGCATATGCAAAGACCGAGATCAGGAAGAAAGTCTGGTACAGGCATATACTAAAGCCTGAGCCCTTGGGGCACCAGGGAGGCTCAGTCAGTTAAGCATCTGACTTCGGCTCAGAGTCTGAGGATGGAGCCCCGGGTTGGGGTCCCTGCTCAATGGAGTCTGCTTCTCCCTCTGCCCCTTCCCTCACTTATACTGTCTCAAATCAATAAAATCTTAAAATAAAAAAACAAAAACAAAAATAAACAAAACCCAAAAACCCTGAGCCCTTCAGTCTGGACAGGACAAAGGGCTCATGGCAGCCGGCCATGGAACAAAGTTTGATGTTTACCTCAAGGGCAGTGGGAGCAAGGGGACATTTCAGGCAACTGGGTGATGAGGCTCAAGGTGCATTTTATTTTATTTATTTTATTTATTTTTAGAAGTTTATTTATTTAAGTCACCTTTACCTCCAACGTGGCGCTTGAACTCAGGACCATGAGATCAAGAGTTGCATGCTCCTCCAACTGAGCCAGCCAGGTGCCCCCAGAGGTATGTTTTATTTATTTTATTATTAATATTTTTAAAGATTTTATTTATTTATTTGACATATTTATTTATTTGACAGAGAGCACAAGCAGGGGGAGCTGCAAGCAGAGGGAGAGGGAGAAGCAGGCTCCCAGCTGAGTAGGAAGCCTGATGCGGGGCTCTATCCCAGGACCCCAGTATCATGACCCAAGCTGAAGGCAGACGCTTCACCGACAGAGCCACCCAGGTGCCCCCAGAGGTGAATTTAGAACCACTAGTTGGACATGTGAGGTGAAAGAACTGAGGGGAGAAGCATTTTCAAGGGCTCTGCTCAAACACGTGGCCAACACACATGAAAATTCATTCAACCTTATTAATAATCAAAGAAATATATGAAGGAATAGATAAAATAGGTTAAAAGGGTTACTAACATCCAATTACTGAGACCTTATATTTAGTGTAACATAAAGATCCACATGATTACACCTCTAGCAGGGACAATGGCTGTTCAGCCATCTCCAAAAGCAAACTGGCAAGACCTGAATGTGCCCAAGACATGGTACTGCCACAGCTGAGCTTTGCCTCACAGAAAACCAGAGGCACCTAAAGAGGTCTGTAATGGACTGATTATAATAGCAGTGTGACAATCAGATACAATCCAAATGTCCATCCGCCGGAGGACAAAATGAACCACAGTCAGCTTACCCGAGGGAATCCTACACAATCGGTCAAAGTGACTGCTTCTGCCATTGTAGTCAGATGGACAAGATGTACTCTTACACAACAAGAGAGAGCTGCAGAACAGTCTGTAGGGAACTTTAGAAATTAAATAACCATGTTTAAGGGTTAATCCATGAAACCAGACAGGAGCTACAGAGCTGCATGTGGCAGTGGCTCCCTCTGGTTCAGGGAAACCTACGGTTTGTATTTAGAAGTCACTAAATTTTATAAAACCAGGTTATGGTTATGGTATCACCAGAAATAAAAAAGCAATACAGATTCATATTTTTCAGAACTGGCACGGGAAAAGTCCCCTAAGCCTTTCCCAGCCCCTCCAGAGCTTTCAGGATGAAGTCAAAGCTACTCAGCTTGATTTCAGATTAGCCTTTTTTTTTTTTTAAGATGTATTTATTTATTTGAGAGAGAGCAAGGGAGAGCTTGAGTGCAGGGGGCCAGTGAGGGACAGAGGGAGAGGAAAAGAGAAGTCCAAGCAGATTCTGCACAGAGTATGGAGCCCAACACAGGACTTGATCCCACGACCCTGAGACCATGACCCAAGCCGAAATCAAGAGTCAGATGCTTAACCGATTGAGCCACTCAGGCACACCACGTTTTTTTTTCTTTTTTTTTAAACAGAACCAAATAAAAGTTACAAAAATTTAAAAAGGCACAGTGAGAAGAAAACCTAAAAAAAAGCTACCTTCTCAGCCTTGGTCATCAGGCCTGTCACCATCTGCCGGCCGACATCCCCAAAGAAAAGTTGGTTGTTCTTGTCTTCCAGAAGACCCTAAGGAATGAGGAAGGGAGGGGAGCAAGCTGCTGGGCTGGCAGCCCTCCAAAGCTGGCAGAGAGGTGAGCCTAACGGGATAGGCAGGTGACCCATCTGCGTGGAGGAGCCAGGTGTGTGTGGGAGCAGGGCTGGTAGGCCTGCCTGGCTGCACCCCAGCCCCAGCGCCATCCTCTCCAGGTTACCCCAACACCCACCTCGAAGGCTTGCCGCACACAATGCAGCTTGGCCAGAAAGTCCTGGTCACTGTAGCAGCCCAGCAGCTCAGTCCTGGGGGGAAGCAGAGTCAGTGACTCCCCCTGGGCCCTGCCCAGCGATGCCCTCTGGGGTCAGAGTATAGCCCTGAATGGTCCTGCCTCAGCCAGGCAGTATGACCTCGGGCAAGTGCCTGCCCTCCTCTAGGCCTCAGTCCCCACCCCCAAACCAAAGAGGCTGACTGGATGCTCTCCGAGGACGTGTTGTCCTCGGTGGCCATGGGCGCACCTGGCAGGTCTAACTTCAAAAAAGTAGAAATCATTGTTATTTTATGAACTAATTATATTAATTTGCAGTTGCTGGTTGCAGTCCTGCCTGTCTGGGAATTCAAGGCTGTCCATGGCTGGGATAGGAGCCACTGCCAGAGCTGTCCAGATGAGTCCTCACCAAGCACTGCTGACCTCCCCAGCCTCCAAGGGGGACAGGGCACACCCTGCCTACCCCCTGCTCCCCACTCCCTTCCCCACACACTCACCTGAGGGTCCGGCAGGGCACTTTCCCCTCCTTCACCAGCTGGAGGGCCTCCTCATAAGCAGCGGCTGGCCTGGAGAGTAGGATGGGGTCATCTCCAACCTGCAGGGACTCAAAGAGCTGGGGGAGGGTGCATAGGAATAGGAAAGTCAGCCGAGTCACCCCCTGTGTCGGCAAAAGCCGAAGGGGGTCAGGGTGCCTGCCCAGGGGACATCCTTGAGGCCAGTCTCTCAGAGGGGATGCCAGAGGGAACACATCTTCTCATGTCAGGGCCTGAAACTCGTGGCCATGGCAGGAGACACATGCCAAGCAATGGGCAGGCAGTCTAAGAAGAGAGGGCTCTGCGTGGGCTGGAGCCCTGGGGGTGGAGACCCTGCCCTTCCCACATGGGGCCTAGGACACCTGGCTTCTCAGGCCAACCCATCCCGGGCAAGTGCATGGAGTCCCCCGGGGAGCAGCACTTACTGACTGCCAAATTCTGCTCCTGTCGGAGGAAATGCTTTTACTTTCCCATGACCCAGTGCTTCTGGTGAGAGTCCCCCAGGGGTTAGGGCTCCACTCTACCCCGCCCTGCCTCCCTGCTCTTTGACCTCGCCCTGTGTTACCTCGGTGGCAGAGAAGAAGGAACCCTCGGAGGTCAGGCTGTCCTCATCGTCCACCCGTAGATGTAGGGAGCCCTCGGTCAGGGGCAGCATGAGGGTCCTCTCTGGGAAGAGCAGGAAGAGAAGGGCTGGGACTCCAAAGTCACCAGGCTTTCTGGAAGGCACACGTGCAAAGCGTCCAATGCCCAATTCTGGGCCGGCTGCCGCTGCCAATCACACAGCTCCTATGTCCTGAAGACTTACACATGAAGGTTCTGGGGTCATCACCTCAAATGAATGGCTTCTTTCAAATGCCACGGCACCCTTACAGGTAGGCACAGTAAGGTATGGAATGGGGGCTGCTGAGCAGGCCTGCCATGGCCACACAGCTACACCCCGAGGCCTGACAGCCCCTGAGCTCTGCACACACACCCTCTCCTGTACCATATGGCCCCAGGCGAATGGACTCTCCTCTCTGACAAACCGACACTTAGCCACTGATGACAAAGAGCACAAGGGAATGCATCGGCCACTGACTTGGCATTTCTAACCCTAGGCCCTCAAGGACTGCAGAGGTCTGGACCTTCAGGGCACTTAAGAAAGCTCTGTCAAACAAATAAGCAAAGGCCATGGCCTAAAAGGCCCCACCAGCCTTCTCTGCCACCTGGGGAGACCAGAGCAGGTAGGTTTCTCTTCAGGCAAAGCCATTCAGGGACAGGCCGTGGAAGGGTGTGTCAGGCCTGGGTCACCACTGACAGAGCTGGGGAGCTGGACACAGGAGTCTGATGCTCCCCATCAGGGCTGAAAGCACCCAGGGAAGGGTCCTGGGGTCCACTCACTGCACGGGGCCCGGCACATGGTGGGTACCAGAAAAACACTGGCTAAATATCTCCATATTTCTCGCTGATGTCAAGTACCTTTACCTCAGCAGTGTGGGCAACAGCAAGACCTGTTTTCAACTAATCTCCATATGAGCCATCCCTGCTGCCTGCCTGGTGCCCACAGCAAAGGGTTTGGACCAAAGGCTTGGAAGATGTGGACACACAGACCTGAAGGCCTACTCCCTACAGGATGGGCCAAGGCACACTGGCCAGGGACCCCTCCACCAGGCCTTGCCAGCCCCTGTTCCTGCCTACCACCTATAAAAGAACACCTCTGGGGAGCCTGGCTGGTGCAGTTAGTAGAGCCTATGACTCTTGATTTCAGGCTTGTGAGCTTGAGCCCTGTGTCAGGTGGAGAGAGGACTTAAAAACAAAATATTAAAAAATGGAAACAAAGCCAAAAAAACACCTCTGTCCCTCAAGGCCTGTTTCCCCATCGATGTACAAGGCACTAATTGAATGAGGTCCAAAGGCCCTGAGGATTCTGAGGGAGCCATACCCCAGTTCTCTTACCACCTCCCACCTTCACCCTACTCCCACCCCATCCCACCCCATCCTGCAACCAGGTCAGCTCACCGAGGTCCAGCAACACGCTGTCGGCCGGAAGGTGGACCCAAACTCCTCCTGCAGGTGGTAGGCCCGGTGTAGCAGGGATTCCAGCTTCTCTGCAAACTCCCTCCGCTGGGACTCTGGCTGCAATTAAAACATGAACATCAACCTGGAGCCTCCACACTCCCCAGGCCAATGGTGCCCCCTCATCAGTGATGGGGGGAGAAAGGGGAGCAGGCTCTGGAGCCCAGCAGCAAGAGCATATGTCTAGACCTGAGCTGCCCAAAACAGGAGCCACCAACCACATAGAGCGAATGAGCAATTGAAATGTGGCCTGTCCCAACAGAGATAGGCTGTTAAGTACAAATACATGCAGGAATTCAAATACTGAGTACCAAGAAACCACAAACAAACAAAAACACTCTAAAATATTTCATGGGTGTCTGGGTGGCACAGTCGGTTAAGTTTCTGATTCTTGGTTTTGGCTTAGATCATGATCTCAGGGTCATTGGATCGAGCCCTGCAACAGATTCCTTGTTTATTTTTTTTTATTTTTATTTTTTAAATTTTTATTTATTTATGATAGTCACACACAGAGAGAGAGAGGCAGAGACACAGGCAGAGGGAGAAGCAGGCTTCACGCACCAGGAGCCCAACGTGGGATTCGATCCCGGTCTCCAGGATCGCGCCCCGGGCCAAAGGCAGGCGCCAAACCGCTGCGCCACCCAGGGATCCCCAGACTCCTTGTTTAGAAGGAAGGGAGGTCTGCTTCAGTTTCTCCCTCCCTCTGCCCCTCCCCACTGCAAGCACACACACTCTCTCTCAAATAAATAAAATAAGTGGGATTTGGGTGGCTCAATTGGTTAAGCATCTGCCTTTGGCTCAGGTCATAATCTCAGGGTCCTGGGATCGAGCCCTGCATCAGGGGTGGGGGAGCCTTACTCAGCCAGGAGCCTGCTTCTCTCTCTCCTCCCTGCTCATGCTCTCTGTCACTATCTCTGTCTCTCTCTCAAATAAGTAAAATCTTAAATAAACAAAATATCTCAATGATGTTCCATGTTGATAACATGTTGATATGATAATATTCTCCAAAAACAAGATTACATAAAATGTATTATTAAGGGACTCCTAGGTAGCTCAGTCAGTTAAGCATCCAACTCTTGATCTGAGCTCAGGTCTTGATCTTCGGGTCGAGAGTTCAAGGCCCACATTGGGCTCCACACTGGGCGTGGAGACTACTTAAATAAGTTAAGTAAGTAAATAAATAAATAAACTGCACTATTAAAATTGACTTTACTGGTTTCTTTCTTTTAATTTATTTATTTGAGAGAGAGCACAGGCAAGGGGAGCAGCAGAGGGAGAAGCAGACTCCCCGCCAAGCAGAGAGCCCAATGTGGGGCTCAAACCCAGGACCCCAGGATCATGACCCAAGCGGAAGGCAGATGTTCAACCAACTGAGCCACCCAGGCACCCCAATTTTACCAGTTTCTTTTTTACTTTTTAGTGTGGTCTCTATAAAATTTTAAATGAGCTATATGACTTCCTACTGAACAATGCTGACTTGGGGTCTGACCCAGGTACCACCAGTTCCAAACGGTATTACCTCAAGTAAATTACTTTCTCATTCTAATTCCTTATCTATCAGCTGAGATAAGAGTACCTACTTCCTAGGAATATAGGGAAAACATGAAGGAGGGGGGTTATGCAAAGCCCTTCACACAAGGCTGGCCTGTGGTGATGACCAGGAAGTGTTGAGTATCATATTATCACAACCTGAGCTAAAGGCAGTCAATCACTGAGCCATCCAGGCATCTCTCAAATTCCACTGTTACTATGAACCATGTGTACTGGGGAAGGTATTGCACCAAAAACTCAACAGCCTATGGTTCAGTAACCTCCTCCTGCCCTTGCCCTCTAGGCTGGTATGTGGAAAGAAAAAGGTGCTGTACCTTTGATCCCAGGAGCTGGGGCCTGATCCCTGGCTGAGCGGCCAGGCACAGGTAGGCCTACCTCTGCTCTCCATCAAGGCTACCAGATCCTGTACCTGTATGTAACCAGACCGCAGGGAGGAGTCAAGGGCCAAACTGAGCTGAGGCCACTGGGGACAGAGCTAGAAGAGCTCAGAGGAGGACGGCAATGATGGAAACGGTTCTTTCACTGAGTGCTTGCCCTGGACCAGTACCTAACTGTTCAGCCTCACAGAATCCTTGAAAGCAGATATGGCTGTGACCTGGATTCACAAAGAAAACTCAGGATGTTAAGTGGCTGAGCTCATGCAGCTATAGCCCCAGCAGGGCCCATGGAACTCCAGGACCCACTGTCTGCTTTCCTCAACTCTCTGATAGAACCAGACCCCGCATGGCGTGGCTGGCAGAGCCCTTAGCTTTGGCAGGTGTCCTCAGTCTTCCTCAGTGAAGCAGATTCGGGTTAGGGACTGGTTTCTTTGATGTCATACCCAAAGTGCAAATGACAAAAGAAAAAGACATACTGAAGTCATTGAAATTAAAATTTTTTCAGGACGCCTGGCTGGCTCAGTTGGAGGAGTATAAGACTCTTGATCTCAGGATTGTGAGTTCGAGCTCCACATTGGCTATGGAGCCTACTTTAAAAAATTTAGGGGAACCTGGGTGGCTCAGTAGTTGAGTGTCTGCTTTCGGCTCAGGTTGTGATCCCGAGGTCCTGGTATCAAATCCTGCATAGGGCCCCTTGCAGAGAACCTGCTTCTCTCTCTACCTATGTCTCTGTCTCTTTCATGAATAAATAAATAAAATCTTAAAAAAAAAAAGGAAGGAAGGAAGGAAGGAAGGAAGGAAGGAAGGAAGGAAGGAAGGAAGGAAGGAAGGAAGGAAAAAGATAACCCACAGAATGGGAGAAAGTATCTGCAGATCCTATCTCTGATATAGGTCTTGGATCTAGAACATATAAAGAACCCTTACAACTCACTAATAAAAAGACACAACAACTTGTCTGTGGACAGGCATTTGAGTTGCTTCCATATCTTGGCTATTGTAAATGCAAGTATCCATCCACACATGAATGGATAAAGAATTGGTACATATACAGAATGGAATATTATTCAGCCATAAAAAAGAATGAAATCATGCCATTTGCAACAACATGGATGGATCTAGAGTATAATGCTAAGTGAAAGAAGTCAGAAGGACAAATCCCATATGATTTCACTATATGCAGAATTTAAGAAACAAAATATACGAACAAACAGAAAAGAGACAAACAAACAAACAAAAAACCCAGACTCTTAAATATAGAGACCAAACTCGTGGGTGCCAGAAGGGGGAGATGGCAGGGGTGGGGGCAGGGGGTGAAATGGACAAAGAAGATGAAGAGGCACTTATTGTGATGAATACTAAGTAATACATAAAATAGCTAAATCATTAAAAAAATAGGCAAATTAAAAATAAAGGATCTCAACAGACATTTCTCCAAAGAAGACATACAAATGGCCAACAAGCACATGAAAAGAAGCTCCACACTGTTAGCTCAGGGAAATGCAAATTAAAACCACCATGAGATAACCATTTTACACCCACTAGAAAGGCTAGAACTAAAAAGACTGATAAAAACAAATGTTAGTCAGGATATGGAGAAACTAGAACCCTCCTACACTGCTGGTGGGAATGTAAAATGGCACAGCTGCTGTGGAAAATGATCTAGGGGTTCTCCCAGATGTCAAATGTAGCATTATCCTAGGACCTAGCAACTCCACCCCTAGCCATACACCCAAGGGAGTGAAAAACAATGTGTCTATGCAAAAACCTGCACAAAACAGTCATAGCAGCATTACTCATAAGAACCATAAAGTAAAAATAATCCAAATGGCCAACAATGAATGAATGAATAAATAAAATGTGGTCTATCCATACAACAGAATATTACTCAGCAATAAACAGAAATGAGGTAGTGATCCAAGTTACAAGGATGAACCTTGAAAACATTATACTATAGGAAAGTGGCCAGCCATAAAAGGCCACAAATCATGACTCCATCTATAGAAATGTCCAGAACTGGCAAATCTACAGAGATGAAAAGTAGATGAGGAATTGCCTAAGGCTGGGGGTGTGAAGGGATGGAGAGTATCTGATGAAGTGTATGGGACTCTGTGGGGACATGATGAAAATGTTCTAAAATTAACTGTGGTGTTGAACACACAACTCTTTTTTTTTTTTTAAAGATTTTATTTATTTATTCAAGAGAGACACAGAGCAAGAGAGAGGCAGAGACACAGGCAGATGGAGAAGCAGGCTCCACTCAGGGAGCCTGATGTCGGACTCGATCCCGGGTCTCCAGGATCACTCCCTGGGCCGAAGGCAGGTGCTAAACCACTGAGCCACCCGGGCTTCCCGAACACATAACTCTTGAATACGCTAAAAGCCAATGAATGGTACAATTCAGAACTGGATTGAATTGAAATGAATTTCATGGTATCCAAGTGATACTCCAACAAACCTGTTAACCATTTTTTTTTAGGACAGAAAATGTCCAGAAGGATACTAAGTGGCTGCGTCTGGATGGAGGGTTATAATAATAATATAATAATACAAACAACAAAGATCATTTATTGAGCACCTACTTTGCACCAGGATCCTAGGGCTGGCAGTGGCCCCCTGCCAAGGGCCCCAGTGCTCGGGGAGCCGAGGGCCGTGGCCCACGGCACAGAGCAGGAGCTGCCTGATCAAAGATTAAAGACTGGGTCCTTTTCTCCCCCACTCTTTACTATTTCTGTATTTCTCACTATTCTGTAAGGAATACTTCATAGCCTTCACGATAAGAACAATGAAAGTTCTAGAATTTTAAGATGCAGTATAAGTGATCAATACCATTTTGGAAATAAAGTTGCCTCACTTCCTTTCCATGACCTAACAGTCTTTCAGGCATCTACTGTCTGCCCACAGACACAGTGACCTGATGGTAGCTGCACCCTTGGGCCCTGGAGGTTTTGTTACCCCCCTGCCCCTCAGGCATTTCTCCTGATATCCTCGTCCTGTAGCTACAGTGCTCCTGCTTGTATGGCAGGCTCTGAGCTAATGTCCCCAGCTGGGGTACAAGGAACTGGTGACCAGGCATGTCCTCATCCTTGTGTTGCAAACTATTTCTCAGGCTCCTCTGCTAACTGGCTCATGGCCAACAGAAGCATAGCTGGAAGAAGCATGGGATGGGGCAATGGGCAGAGAAATTCCCTTCCCAGTCCTGCCTCACACCATATAGCTGCCCCATCCTACCCAAAACGGGATGACCCCTGCTGGTAAGCCCCACCAGGGTTCTAGGTTCTGTGGCTCCTAAGCTCTGGCACACTGCCTCTTGCCCTGGGCTCTCAACTCCTCCTTCACCTGTGCAACCAATTTCCTGGGTTAAATTCCTGATGATACCTTGACTGACTCTCCAGATACTGTCAGACTGCACCCTGAAGAGCCGGACTTTGTCCTCGCTCCAGCAGAGGACAGGGGCTCCTAGGGTTGCTTTCTGTTTAAGATTTTCTTTATTTATTAGAGAGAGAGAAAATGAGCAGGGAGAGAGAGGCAGAGGGAGACAGAGAGGGAGATGGAGAAGCAGACTCTGTGCTGAGCAGGAAGCCAAATGCCGGGCTCGATCCCAGGACCCTGGGATCATCATGACCTGAGCCAAAGGCAGACACTTCACTGACTGAGCTACCAGGCACCACCAGCCCTTTTTTTTCTTTAAATACATAAAAGCATAAAAACTAAGAGAAACAGTTCACAATCCTACCACCTATACAAAACCCTGCCCATAAGTGTGACTCAAAATCAGGAAGGCCAAACAGTAAGGCACAATAAAAGCCTTTTCCACCTTCCCCTGTAGATCCCACCCTCGTAGATCACTGTTAAGAATTCCCTGAGTCAGGGGTCCCTGGGTGGTGCAGCGGTTTGGCGCCTGCCTTTGGCCCAGGGCGTGATCCTGGAGACCCGGGATCGAATCCCATGTCGGGCTCCCAGTGCATGGAGCTTGCTTCTCCCTCTGCCTATGTCTCTGCCTCTCTCTCTCTCTGTATGACTATCAAAAATAAAAAAACAAAACAAAAAAAAAAGAATTCCCTAAGTGGGTAGCCCAGGTGGCTCAGCGGTTTAAGCGCCACCTTCAGCCCAGGGTGTGATCCTGGAGACCCGGGATCGAGTCCCACGTCGGGCTCCCCACAGGGAGCCTGCTCCTCCCTCTGCCTGTGTCTCTGCCTCTCTCTCTCTCTCTGTGTGTCTCTCATGAATAAATAAATAAAATCTTAAAAAAAAAATTCCCTGAGTTATGAGTCCAGAAGGAAGTAAAAGCGCACATACATACTAGCAGTTACCCACAGGCAGATGTGAGGCATGGATGTATGTCTTTCTGAACCTGTATACACATGGGTTATACTATACACATTCCACATCTTGCTTTTTCTCGCTTAGTGACATACTGTGGAGACAGCAGCCCAGCAGCCTATATGGATTTCCCTACACCTTTTAATGTCTCTATCGCAGACCCCTACTGATGGACATGTAGAGTTTCCATTTTTTTTCTGGTTTCACATTGTGACAAGATAAAGTTTCAGTAAACGTCCATCCTGGATGTGTGTTTGGTATGCTTTATGCAAACACTTTTTATGTTAGCTTTTTTACTTTCTCTTTTCTGATAGTGAAACAAATCCTGACTACCAAAAAAAAAAAAAAAACATCGAAAGGAAAAACAAGGCAAAGGCTGTGTGGTCCCTTAGCTGAACACAGGCCAATTCCCACCAGTCCCTCATAAATGGCACCTTTTCCTCACATAGTTGGGGCTGGGGCGTGCTCATCACCCTGGATTACTGACTGATTACCAAGCAGCATGTGCTAAGCACCTCATGTGTGCATTCTACTCGGCACAATGACATCCTTGTGGAAGGGGAAGCTCCCATCCAGGAGGACCAGAGAGCACCCAGCAGAAGCCAGGGGCTGCCACACTGCCTCCTGGAGGCTGGCTGCCTTTTCGCCCCACCACCAGCCTCCTCTAAGGCTGGGATCTATGGGAGACGACCGCCTACCTCAGATGGTACCTCCGAAGCAGTCTCGGGGTTCCGTAGGCTGTCCCCAGGTGTGGGGGTGCGGCTGCTGTCCCCTCTCTGCCCCACGCTCAGCGCCTGCTCCCACTTCTGTAGCGCTTCCTCGAACAGCTCCATACCTGAGCCCGGGCAGGAGGACAAGGGAGAGTCTGGCCTCAGCAGAGGAATGCACCCAGGCCCCACACTCCAGATGGCATCAGAAAAGCAAGGGGGCAGGAAAACATGAAAGGTCATAAAAGGCAGGACCATGTGAGCCTGGTTCTAGTCACTTTTCCAAGGCGGGTCAGTTCACAGGCCTCCATTCAGACCAGACTTGTTCCTGGAGACTGTCCCCTAGCCACAAATAGCTAGAAACCACCAAATGAGGGTCTTGGGGTCAGGAGTGAGGTTGCAAAAGAGCACCTGGAAAAGTGCCCTGAGCCCAGCCTGGGCTCCCAGGAGGAGGCCATCCTTCCCTCCAACTCTGCCCCAGGAGAGCCCCTGGCTGGCCAGTACCTTGCATGTAGAGACTCTCTGCGTTGCCGTCACTGGCGGTCACAGATTCTTCCATCCCTCTGGTGTCCCATGGTCCTGAACACGCAGCCATGGGGCTGGATGAGTTCACTGCTACCATCTGGGAACAAAGCAGCACAAGGACCCAAGGGCAAGGGGTAAGGCCCCCCAGACTCTGCAGGACCCAAGCCCCTCCCACGGCCTGATCATACGTAGCACGCCCTCTCCAAAGACCATTCGGGAAGAGAGCCTCCGGCACTGCAGCCAAGCCTCCAGCATGGCCTGCTTCCACCAACTCTAACCACGAGATGGCACTTTACAGAAATCGCTGAACTGGGAGGAAACAGAGGCTGATGCCCAGCTCAGGAGCCAGCAGCCTCCTACAGAAGCTGTCCTGGGCCCGTTCCCTGCTCTCAGGCTCTGCTACAGGTCAGACTAGGAAGACACGGAGCAGCCACCACCACAGGACAGGGCAGGGCCCACGCTTGCCACACTTCTCGCCCTGCCAGGACGGGGGCTCCTCCAGGGCAAGAGCCATGTCTTCCTCACCGCTGAGTCCCCAGGGCAAAGCCCAGCTTAAAGCTTGAGGAATGAATGGGTAACCAGGTAAGCAAATGAGCCCAGAGCCCCTCTGCAAGAGAAAATCTGCTTCTCTTTGTCTCATTTCTCTCTTTATCTTCAGCAGAGTCTTTGGTACAAAGCAGATGCCTGTGTCTGATGAACCAAGGAATGAACTTTCATAGACAAGTGTCTCCCCAAGAGACCACCAACCTCTCTCCTGCCCCACCCACCTTTCTTTTACTGAAGTCTGGCACTTGGTAAATGATCAATGACAATCTCTGAAAGCCTGTGTGGACGGATGAGTGAATGAATGAGAGGCTGAACAAAATTTCTCTGGTCTTCCTACTAGTCTGCAAGCATCCTGAGGGCAGAGACTCGAGCCTACTCAGTATACCAGGGACTGAGCCCAGAGCCCCTAGTGCCCTCCCCCAGGGAGTTACCGAAGCCAAGCTGTGGCAAGATCCCGAGTGCTTGCTGGGCTCGATGGAGGAGATGCCACTCAGAGTGTCATTGCTTTTGCTACTGGGGCTCTGCATCCTTCGGCTGGAGTAGCCTGTGAGGAACAGGAGGGCAAAGAGCACGCTAGCTTCGAGTTTGAGCCTTTGCAGAGGTTGTTCTCACCACCAGAAAACCCTTCCTATCCTCATATGAAAGCCTGTCCCCCTATCCTTTAAGTCAAGGTGATAGCAGAGCACCTAAGCGCATGCACTTAGCAGAGTGCTATGCCTCTGCTTGACGTCCTGCTCACCACCATATCCCTGCCATCTAGTGCAAGGCCTGGCCCAGAAGGCCCCAGATCTGCCAGATAAGCCTGAGAAGGAGGTCTGGCAACTGCTCCACCTACTTTTCATTCAATCTCCCCTGTGTTGCTGACTGACTGATTTGAAATTCTCTTCCTTCTAAAAGGAATTTGAGACAATGACTTATTCAAATACACATGAGGGCAGCTGAGGTGGCTCAGCGGTTTAGCGCCACCTTCGGCCCAGGGCGTGATCCTGGAGACCTGGGATCGAGTCCCACGTTGGGCTCCCTGCATGGAGCCTGCTTCTCCCTCTGCCTGTGTCTCTGCCTCTCTCTCTCTCTCTGTGGGTCTCTCATGAATGAATGAATGAATGAATGAATGAATGAATAAATAAATAATCTTATAAAAAATAAATACACACAAAACATTTTTTTAAGTAAGAAAAGTAGGGGAGGGAAAAGAAGGGAACACCAGAGGTGGTGGTGGTAATGGTACAGGGTAGGCAAGTAAGAGGCTGGCACAGAGGCAGCTCCAGGTGTCCCAGGAGTCAATGGAAACAGAAACCCAGCTACATCAGCACTTCTCTGATCCTGTTCTAGATTAGTCTAAAAACTTCTTTTTCTAGTTGTACGAGAAAATTTTCCTTTTGCAATGATTAAGTCATAATTAAAATTCATTTTCATGTGAGATTTTTCTTTTTTTTCTTTAACATTTTATTTACTAAAAAAAAATATTTTATTTACTCATTTGAGAGACAGACGGGGGGGGGAGAGAGAGAGAGAGAGAGAGCGAGCAAGCACAAACCAGGTGCCTCTCCTTTTTTTTTTTCTTCTTTTTTTTAAAGCAGGCTCCATGCCCAGCATGGGGCTTGAACTCATGAACCTGAGATCAAGAGCTGCACACTCTACCAAATGAGCCAGCCAGGTACCCTAAAGGGAATTTTTGCTTCTTAAACCAGGTTTCTGGAGCCCCCGGGGTGGTTCAGTCAATTAAGCATCTGCCTTCAGCCCAAGTCATGGCCTAGGGGTCCCAGGATCAAGCCCTGCACCAGGCCCCTTGCTCAGTGGGGAGTCTGAGTCTCCCTCTGCCCCTTACCCCACTCGTGCTCTCTCTCTCTCTCTCAAATAAATAAAATCTTTAAGAAAATAGAAATCTGGGCAGCCTGGGTAGCTCAGCAGTTTAGTGCTGCCTTTGGCCTGGGGTGTGATCCTGGAGACCTGGGATCGGGTCCCACGTCGGGCTCCCTGCATGGAGCCTGCTTCTCCCTCTGCCTGTGTCTCTGCCTCTCTCTCTCTCTGTGTCTCTCATGAATAAATAAATAAATAAATCTTAAAAAAAAAAAAAAGAAAAGAAAACAGAAAACCAAAAAGCAGAACAAAACAAAACAAAAACCAGGTTTCTCCCACTCAAGATGTGAGCCTGTGAGGACTTCCTGCCTCAGAACGAGATCCATATGATATTCAAGAAACGCAAACATTGGCTTCCTGGGTTACAAAATGAACAGAGGCAGGGTGGCTCAGTCAGTTAAGCATCTGCCTTCAGCTTAGGTCATGATCCTGGGGTCCTGGGATCGATCCCCCCATCAGGCTCCCTGCTCGACAGGGAGTCTGCTTCTCCCTTGGCCTCTGCCTGCCACTCCCTCTGCTTGTGTGCTGTCAAATAAATAAATAAAATATTTAAATTAAAGAAAAAAAAACAACAGCATCCATAAGGGTTTTGAAAGCCACACCCACAGACACAAAACAGCTCAGAGGCTACCGGGGGCTGCAGGGGGAGGGGGGGATGCTGACTACAAGGGACATGGGAGGACTGAGAGCATGGCAATACAGTTCTTGATGTGGTTTAAATACTACTATAGGTGTTACACAAAATCGCATAAAGAATTATAGGCTAAAAAAAAAAAAAAAGAATTGTAGGCTGAAAAGGGTAAACTTAACCTTTAAAAAACAGGGGGTGGGGGCTGGGGTAACACTATCTGGCTCAGGAACCACATGGCCCTTCTTGCTCCTGCACCAGGAGACTTCCCTCCCTGGTCACGGGAGCGTCTCACCAGCTCCCTCTGGACACGGATGTTCCCAAATGTCCTCCGATTCTGAGAACAACCACCACCAACAGGACACGTGCCTCTTGACAGCATCACCCACCAAATCCTTGACTTTGCTGATGACCGAGGGAAGGGTCTACGCCATCCTCACTTCACAGAGGAGGGGTACTTGGCTCGGAGACAGGACGTCACTAGCCCAAGATCCGACAGTGACCAGGGGCCCAGCGGGGACCTGACTCCAGGTCAGGCCCTCCCCGGGCTCCTCACACTTACCTTTCTTCACCGATGGGACCTTCCTGGCCATGAGGATGGGGAGGGGCACCGTGCCCAGATGTGCGCCTCCCATCTCGGGGCCGACCTGCTTCTTCCTCCGCCGTCGCCTCTTCAGCTGATGGGCAGCCAGGGCCAGGGCCACTGTCCCCAGTGCAGTGGCAAAAAGGACCTTCCGTAGGCCTGGTGTCAATCGCAGCTGAGAGAATGCAGACTGCAGGAAAAGAGGGAGGTAGCTAGACTACATCTCCCTGGAAGAGCTCCCTGGAAGAGGTGAGCAGAGCTGTGCTGGGGAGCACCTGAGGGGCACAGGATGCCTCAGGCACTTGGGGGCTATTTGCTGACCAGGAATGTTGGGAGAGGCAGCCACCCCCCGAGAAGGAACCTGGCCAGCATTTCTGAAATGCGGACCACAGAGATGCAAAAAGGGGCCTAGTGGAGGGCACCTGGATGGGATGGCTCAGTGGTTGAGCATCTGCCTTTGGTTCAGGTCATGATCCCCGGGTCCTGGGATTGAGTCCTGTATCAGGCTCCCTGCAGGGAGTCTGTGTCTCCCTCTGCCTATGGCTCTCTCTGTGTCTCTCATGAATAAATAAATAAAATCTTAAAAAAAAAAAAAAAGAAGAAGGGGACTGGGGACAGCAAAATGACAATGCCAAAGAGATCACACCTGGGGTCCAGGTGTCCCTAACTCCATCAGTCGTGATTCTAACAGCCACAGTGACTGAGTACCTATTATGCCAGGCACTGCACTAGGATTTTACCTGCACTCCCTGGCTGGATGCCCATCATTTTCCAGGTAAGGCTCTGAAGCTCACAAAGGTTAAGATACATGCTCAAGATGATGGGGAGTCAGAAATCGAATCTAGGTCTCCTGACCCCATTTCTTTTCTTTTCTTTTGGTTAAGAATTTATTTATTTATTTATTCATGAGAGACACAGAGAGAGAGAGAGAAAGAGGCAGAGAAACAGGCAGAGGGAGAAGCAGACCCCTTGCAGGGAGCATGATGCAGGACTTGATCCCTGGACCTAGGATTATGCCCTGACCTGAAGGCAGATGCTTACCGCTGAGTCACGCAGGTGTCCTTCCTGACCCTATTTCTTAATGACTCCTTGAAGTTGGTAACATTCACTCCACCCAACTGCCACATCTGTACAATTCCCCGCACTTCACTCACTGCCTGCTGAACTCGGAGCCCCTCAGGTGGGGCTGCACCCTACAGAGCAGAGCTTTAGGAAGTGTCAAAAGACCTGGTCAACCACTAACATTTGGGGCTGGCAGGGAGGGTGTGACTGACCTCTTTTATAGACTGAAAAACTGAGGTCAAGGGTTCACCTAGCCCTGTGGTAGAGACCAGGCTTGGGGCTCCAGACTCCTAACCTAGTCCTTCCTGCTCTGCTCAAAGAAGACACCCCAAAAACCTGGGGCTGCAATGAGGGATGAGCTTTCCCAAATGCTAGGGACCCTGGGATGAGTGGCTCACTGTCTTAGAGACAGGGGGTAAAGGCAGGACCACAACCCACCCCAACTTTTACCTGCCCAAACGTTGTATACAGGAACACAGGGATCTCAGCCACCGTCATGGCCAGTGCCTGGATCATGGACATGCTCTCAGTCCTCCGGAATGCCATGGCAGGACCAGCACCCTCTGGTCCAAGAGCTTCCAAGGAAAATGTCTTCAACTGGCCGCTGGCTGGGTCCCATGCACCGTCCACGCCTCAGAAAGACAGGGACACACATACCAGAGGGTCCTTCCACAGAGCTAGGAGACAGATGACCAAGTCAGACACCAGAATATGCTCAGGTGAGCACAGCGAAATGCCCATAACAGTGCCTGAGGGTAAGTGGGAGCAAAGCCTATCTCTGGAATCGCAGGCCTGGAATCAGCCCCCCTCCCTTCTGCAACCACCAGCAGGAAGGCAGCCAAATGCCCCACATACCTTCTGCCCGCCCTGAGCCCAGGAGCAGAACACAGCGTCTTTGGCATTTTGGCCCAAGAACAGACCCAGGGCCTGGGAGATAGATAGGTCACTCTCAAACTCAGGGCTTTACACCACACATGCACAATCTTTTTAATACCGTGTTCCATTGGCTACACAAAACCGCAGGCCATGAGAGGGTCAGGCCCCTGACTGGGAAACATTATATGCTTTTCATTTCCCACAAAGCCAAGAATGTTTTTATTTCCTGTGGACTGTGTTATGAAAGCAGCCGGGTGTTTTCCCTCAAATAACGAAAGCCACTACACTCACTATGTATATATTTTTAAAATATTTTATTTATTTATTTGGTAGAAAGAGAGCGTGCAAGTGCACAAGCAGGAAGAGTAGTAGGAGAGGAAGAACGAGGCTCCCCGCTGAGCAGGAAACCTGATGTGGGGCACGATCCCAGGACGCCTGGATCATGACCTAAGCTAAAGGCAGACGCTTAACTGACCGAGCCACCCAGGTGCCCTGCTCTATGTACATAGAGCACTGGGTTCTTTCTATGTGTTATTTCATGGGATTATTACAACTCTGTGAAGGAGATACTACCTAGACCCGTGCCCCATCTCTGCCAATTTCCAAAGAGGAAAGCGAATCTCGGAGGGGTTAAGTCAGGAGCCCACACTCATACAGCTAGTGTGAGGTAACATCAGGAATTGGACCAAAGTCTACTGGACTTTAGGCTCTCTGCTCAGTACAACCCTTCATCTAAATATGACATGGAGCAGGAAGCAGCAAGCCCCAAAAGAATCACAAACTACAAGGGCAACGTTCTCCTGGGGCCTTCGAGACACCCCCACCCCCAGAGTACCCCATTGCCCCATTCCAAGGCCAGAGAATAAATGGCTTGAGCACACAATGCCCCATCCCCAAGATCCTGCAGAGCACTCCCCAACTGCCACCACAAAGACCAAGGATGCCTTCAAGGTCTCCTGGGACCTCAAGCAGAAGGAATACACAGGCCAGGACAGACCCTATCAACCTGGGATGGCAGCCAAAGTCACCGGAGCAACACAAGAAACAGCTTCTCCCCAGTGAGTGGGAAGGATGGACGATCCTACCAGTGTAGCTCTAGCGCTGGGCCGTGTGGATGAGGGGGGCGAGCAGGGGAATAACCAGTCTAGGACCAAGGAAATGGTCATGCTGTCAAGATAGGAGACATCCTGGGGCGCCTGGGTGGCTCAGTGGTTGAGTGTCTGCCTTTGGCTCAGGGTGTGATCCTGAGGTCCTGGGATCAAGTCCCCCACTGAGCTCCTTACAGGAAGACTGCTTCTCCCTCTGCCTATGTCTCTGCCTCTCTCTCTGTGTCTGTCATGAATAAATAAAATCAAGAAAGAAAGAAAGAAAAAGAAAAGAAAGAAAGAAAGAAAGAAAGAAAGAAAAGAAAGAAAGAAAGAAAGAAAGAAAGAAAGAAAGAAAGAAAGAAAGAAAGAAAGAAAGAAAGAAAAAAGATAGGAGATATCCTGCCAGGAGACTGCGAATTGAGATGTGACCTCCAGTGATCAGGTCCCAGGTTCATATCTTAAGCCAACCCTCTCATTCCCCACAATCTGGTCCAGACCTCAGAGAGAGGGAGACAAAAATACCAGAACGCTGGAGGATCAGCAGCCACTATTTCCCCAGCACTTATACTATACGCCAGGCTTGGAACAGGCTCTGGCTGGGAATCTAGTTGCTACTTACGATGGGGAGGCCATCAGAATTAAGTGACCTGACTGACCCTGCTAACTGACTAAGCTGAGATGTGACCTCATCTGCAAGGGATCCTAAAGCTACGGTGTTTCCCGAGTCATCTGCTACAGCAGCCTCATCTCTCTCCCTGCCACATCTGAAGGACTTTGGGACCCAAGTGAGAAGCCCATATGGAGCCACAACAATGAGCCTAAACACAGGCTCCAGGCGTGAGACGGGGCTGGGAGGTCTGGTTACTTGCCTGCAGGAGAGTCAAGAGCAGCCTCTGCTGCTCCAGATAAGAGGAAGAGTGGCAAGTGCAAGGCGACAACACTGGCCCCCAAGCCTGCTTCACTCCAGGGCTGGATCCAGACTCAGCTCAACCATGCCCTACGCACTGACACAACCGGGGGAGAAGCTTCCTCTTCTCCATGGTGACAGCCTGTAGCACTGCTCCCTATCTTGTGCACACTTCCAATGCCATTCCCCGCTGGGCAAGTCACCCTATAACCTTGGGTAGGAACCTCTTCATTCCATCCTTGCTGTGGCACCTACAACATCCTCCGCCTGACTGCCCACACTTTCCAGAGCACATCTCCTCCCTTGCCCTGGGCAATCCTATTAATGACTTTGGCCTGAGCAGCCCGTCTTTCCTCCTTGACCCCAGCAATGTCCCGGGCCCAGGCACTGAACGGCCCTCTGCCCAGTCTCTGTTCATTCCACCCTAAACACCTTACCTCAAGCTGGGTACTGGGCACTCCTGCACTGGACCTCAGCAATATAGCCCCTTCTTCACAATTTGCTCATCCCATCTCAGACACCTCCCTGTGCAGCCCCAGTTCAGGCCCCCTCTTCTTTTGCCCGACTCTCGGAATATCCTTGAGGGTCGTCCAGGTGCCCACTGGCCCCATACACGGCCGGTGCACCTGCTCCCTCCATTCCGGGTACTTTCCTAGCCCGGGTTCGGGTACCCGCGCCCCTGCAACGTTCCAGGTCGGGGCAGCTCCTCACTGACCTGGCTCTTTCCGTTCTACCTCTCGCGCCTCCCACGGCTCCGGTACCTGTTTATTCCAACCTGGGCCCGGACACCTGCGCCCCCACCCAGTTCCTTGCTCGGATCCGGCTCCCGCCCGCCGCAGCCTCGGTCCCAGGCCCTGCCGCGTCGCCCGCCGGACTGGCTCAGCCGGGGGCACCACTCACCCAGGATCCCATCGCTGCGGAAGGGCAGCGTCTCCTTCCCCGGCGCCCGCGCAACCAACCCCGGGGCCACCGCGGGGGGCGTGGCTTCACGCAGGGCCAACCCCCTCCCCCTTTGCCCAATGAACGTCGCCCAAGCGCTCCTCGGCGCTCCGGCCTCTGGCCAATGGGCTGGGTCACGTGACGGCCTGGCCGGGCCTCCCCGCCCTCTGCTCCGCCCCCCAAGTGCGGTTGAGGCGCGGAAGTGCTCTCTTCTCCCCTACCATTGGCTGTCGCGGTTCGATTGACTCGGGAGCCCTGGGGCGGGGGGGGGGGGGCAGGCCACTCTTAAAAGGGGCTGAGGGGGACCTCTCTGGTCTCTGGGGGTCTTTCTGGGAGGGACCTGAAAACTGCCTGAACCCTGTTCTGCTGCTCTGCTCCCGCCTGGCCCCGCACAAATTCTGCCCGCGCTTGAAAGGCCCGTTTTCTTTCTTTCTTTTCTTTTCTTTCTTCTTTCTTTCTTTCTTTCTTTCTTTCTTTCTTTCTTTCTTTCTTTCTTTCTTTCTTTCTTTCTTTCTTTCTTTCTTTCTTCTTTCTTTCTTCTTTCTTCTTCTTCTTTCTTTCTTTCTTCCTTTCTTTCTTTCTTTCTTTCTTTCTTTCTTCTTTCTTCTTCTTTCCTTCCTTCCTTCCTTCCTTCCTTCCTTCCTTCCTTCCTTCCTTCCTTCCTTTCCTGTCTTTTTTTTTTTTTTTTTTCTTAGGCGAAGGCCCCGTTTTTAAATGTCACTGCCTCTGACTTCTCACAGCATCTTCTTACACCAAACCTAGCACTCTCCACTTTCTTTCGGGGCTGTTTACAAGTTGCCCTTAGCAGACATTGTCTCCCTGAGAGTTGAAGTCAGGTGATTGTGGCCAATGGTGCCTCAAACGAAACACCGAAACATCGGGTTTGGAATAGAGCCTCCTTGGGTTGGAGTCAAGTTTCACGCCGTTAAGCTCTGAAGCTCACGCGGTGCACCCCTCTGTTAAATGGGTGTAGGATTCCTACCTTTCCAAAGTCACAAGGCTTTGGTGAGGCTTGGAGAAAACTGTGGCAAGCCTTTTCATAACTGCGAAGAGCTGGGCATCTAAATTTTTAAAATATAATTACCAGCTAGGTCACAACCTTCATTCATTCGACAATTAATATATCTATGTGCCAGCCTTTCTGCTGGCCAGACACATGGATGCACAGTGGTGGGCAAGATACATGGTGGCGCCAGGGAGCTCACAGGAAGCAGATACATAATTACGATCTTGTGCGATAGTTGCTCTAATGGGAGAAACTCAGGAATGTGGGGATACTGAGGAGACACCAGGGCTTGCAGGGGGAGGTAAGGGACTCCGGAAACAAAGAGATGTCCAGATTGCAAACCTGAAGGATGAACAAGAATTAGTTGGGTGAAAGGGAGACAACAGAGCATGCAGGAGCAGCATGGACTGTGACCCCCAAGGCAAGAGAGAATCTGGCATCCAATGAGCCAAGGAAGAGGGAGCCAGAGCAAAGAAGCGTGGTCTTCACAGTTGGACTGCCTGTGTTCTGGGCTAAATCTCCCACTCTCAGTCTGTGCCCTGTGACCTTGCACAATTCACTTAACTTCTTTAAGCCCCACCTTCCTCACCCCTAATATGAGGAGGAGGATGTTTTCTGAGCTGTTATAACCATTCTCAGTGATTATTCACTTAAAAGTGCTCAATGCTGGACCTGGCATGGTCTCAGAATATTTGGGCCATTGCTATTAAGAAAACTGTAATAGCCAATTGCAAACCTAGATAAATAGATGAAGCATATAAACTGGGACAGGTGTAAGTAATAACTACTGCCTACTGTCTCTCTATGCCCAACATGGGGCTCAAACTCACAACCCTTAGATGAAGCATCACATGAGCTACCAGCTGAGCCAACCAGGCACCCCATTCTCTCTCCCCTTTACCCTGTTGTGTTTTTCTTTTTTTTATAATAAATTTATTTTTTATTGGTGTTCAATTTACCAACATACAGAATAACATCCAGTGCTCATCCCGTCAAGTGCCCCCCTCAGTGCCCATCACCCATTCACCCCCACCCCCCCACCCTCCTCCCCCTCCACCACCCCTAGTTCGTTTCCCAGAGTTAGGAGTCTTTATGTTCTGTCTCCCTTTCTGATATTTCCCACACATTTCTTCTCCCTTCCCTCATATTCCCTTTCACTATTATTTATATTCCCCAAATGAATGAGAACATACACTGTTTGTCCTTCTCCGATTGACTTACTTCACTCAGCATAACACCCTCCAGGTCCATCCACGTTGAAGCAAATGGTGGGTATTTGTCGTTTCTAATGGCTAATATTCCATTGTATACATAAACCACATCTTCTTTATCCGTTCATCTTTCGAGGGACACCGAGGCTCCTTCCACAGTTTGGCTATTGTGGACATTGCTGCTATAAACATCGGGGTGCAGGTGTCCCTGTTGTGTTTTTCTTTCCAGGACTGTTGTATAACATATTTGTTTGCCCAAGGGAGGGATCTTGTTTTGTTTACCTCTCCATCCCTGGTACCTAGACAGTGCCTGGGTCACAAAGACTTTCTCCTTGACCAAAGCTGACTCAGTCTCCTCTGAAGCCATCTGCTCAACGAGGTCGAGCTTAGACTTCCATCTGTGTCCTTGTAGAATCCAGTTTTAACAAGAATTCCCCACCCTTGGTATCTGATCACCTTCCATATTTAAACAAATTTCTCATTCTCTACTCTCAATATCTTGGCCTGCCTTCAAGGAGAATCCTGCTAGCCTTGACATTTCCACTTCTTCATTTTCCATCCACTGACCCTGCCCTGTTCTTTCACTAAAAATCTCCACTTGTCCTCGTTTTATTCAGAGTTGAGCCCAATTTCCCTTCTCTACTGCAAAATCCCCCACTGCAGTGATCCCTCTTGAATAAAAATCTTCCTTACCATCTTTAACAAGTACCATAAATGCTTTTTAAAAAGATTTTATTTATTTATTTAGTTAGTTTGAGTACGGAAAGGGCAGAGGGGAAGAAGCAGATTTCCCACTGACCACAGAGCCTGATGTGGGGCTCAATCTCAAGACCTGAGCTGAAATTAAGAGTCGGACACTGAGGGATCCCTGGGTGGTGCAGCGGTTTGGCACCTGCCTTTGGCCCAGGGCACGATCCTGGAGACCTGGGATCGAATCCCACGTCAGGCTCCCGGTGCATGGAGCCTGCTTCTCCCTCTGCCTGTGTCTCTGCCTCTCTCTCTCTCTCTCTCTCTCTCTGTGACTATCATAAATAAATAAAAAAATAAAAAAAAAGAGTTGGACACTGAACCCACTGAAACACCCAGGCGCCCCAAATAAAATTTTTTAAAGATTTTATTTATTTATTTATTTATTTATTTATTTATTTATTTATGACACACACACACACACACACACACACACAACACAGAGGCAGAGTCACAGGCAGAGAGAGAAGCAGGCTCCATGCAGGGAGCCTAATGTGGGATTCAATCAGGTCCTGGGCTGAAGGCGGCGCTAAACCACTGAGCCACTCGGGTCGACCTACATTTTTTTTTTTTTAACAGTGCTTGATGTGAGTTATTGAATGAGTGAACATATAAGTATACTGATATATGCCTGTGAAGATGATACGGCTGGATGCTCAATGAATGAAATAGACCACCACAGGCAAACTTTGGTAAATAAATGAATGATCAGTACAGATGAATACAAGCACATAATATAATGATGGCTCCAAAGAGCTAATAAACAAAGACTCTTAAATGGGTGCACATTAAGTCACCTGGAAGTTCCCAAACTCCACCTGCCTGGGCTTCATGCCTGCTAAGAGAACCAGTCTGGGAATAGATCTGGGGTCTGGATTTTGAACAAAATCCAGATGACTGGGATTTATGATGGGGAATATGATGGGGACAGGCTGGGGTATATGATGGGGAACTGAGGTTAGTATGTGGAGATAAACAAGTCAGGTATCCAGAGGATGGAGCCAGGGAGGAGACAGTGCCAGTTCAGGAAGAGAGCTCTCCACTGCATTAAAAGGTAGTGTAGAGGTAGAGACAGGTAATAAGCCCCCTCTAAGGTCCATGAATGGGAGGATGTACCTGCAGTCTATTCCATTGTCTGTCCAGGGCTATGAGGAGGTAAGTTCAAGATCAGCAAGTGTCCCTGCTCTAAGGGCAGCCCATTCCACTACCTTGGCCTCCCCACTTATCCTCCCTCCTTCACGTACACCGTCACCCAACTTTGGAGAACCAGAGGGCTTCCAGGGAACAAACAACCAGAGGAGTCCCCAGCCAGCCTGTGCCCTGTCTCAGATGTCCTTAGCATCACCAAGGTCAATGGCAGAAGACGGGGACTGGAAAGGTCAAGGTAGTGGTGAATGGTGGTGGGCTGTACAGAGACCCAGAACAAAAGAGGCAAAGGAATAGGAAGACAGAGGGCCTAGTAGAAGAGTGGGGTGCGAATGGTCAAAGGGACATGAAGAGGCACAAGTTGGCAAGGGGCTGTGGAACAAGGAATGGAGAGAGGCCAGTCAGATGGCAGGCAGAAGCCATAGGGGGCAGCAACCAGTTGCATCAAGACCGGAGGCCTCCAGCCCCGCGGAGCGCCTAAGACTCCGCCCCCGAAGTCCACGCCCCGCCCCGCGCGCTCCGCTGGCTCCTCCCCCGACGCCCGCGCCCCGCCCTGCGCGCTCCCTCGCCTGCTCCCCCGACGCCCGCGCCCCGCCCCGAGCGCTCCGCTGGCTCCTCCCCCGACGCCCGCGCCCCGCCTGCGCGCCCTCGCCTGCTCCCGCCCGCGCCCGCCGCGCGCTCCGGCTCCTCCCCGACGCCGGCGCCCCGCCCTGCGCGCTCCCTCGCCTGCTTCCCCGACGCCCGCGCCCCGCCCTGCGCGCTCCGCTGGCTCCTCCCCCGACGCCGCGCCCCGCCCTGCGCGCTCCGCTGGCTCCTCCCCTGCGGCCTGCGCCCCGCCCTGCGCGCTCCGCTTTGCTGGGCGGGGGCGGCTGCGGGCCGGCGGGCTTGCTGAGGGAGGGCGCCCCGGCAGCAGGTGGGCGGGGTGCGGGCCGGCGGCGGCGGCCGGCTGGGAGCTGCCAGGCTGCGCTCGGGTTGAGCGCGGCCGGCCATACGTCGCGCCATGGACTTCAACATGAAGAAGCTGGCGTCGGACGCGGGCATCTTCTTCACCCGGGCGGTGCAGGTGAGGCCGTGCGCCCTGGGCCTCGCGCGGCCGGCTCTCGGAGCCCGGATGTGGGGCGGGCCGGGAGCGCCCCTACAGTAGAGCCGGGGGCGCAGGGGAAGGCCCTCGAGGCTGCCGAGCCCTCCCCGCTGCGGGGACACCCTAGCTCCCCACATCCCCTACTGCTACTCTGCCCAGAAGAGAGAAGAGCCCGGGGCGGCCGGCCAAAGTGGCCGCACTCAGCGGAGCGGGGGGCCGGGGCTGAGCCGGCCACAGCCCTGCTGCCTTAGGGGAGGTATCAGGGGCCACCGTTTCGACTGGCAGGGTTACTCTGCTGCCGTGGCTCCCGCCCCAGGAGGGGAGAGAGGACCAAGGGGGCTCCTGCCTCCCTGCCCTTTCTCAGCAGTGACTCTGGCAGGCGTTTGGAGGCCTGAGCCCCAGGCCTAGGGACCATGCACCCGCCACGACCCCTTCTCCGAACTCAGTCTCCGCACCTGTGCAATGGGCTGGTGGTACTGATTCCCTCAGGTCCCCTTTACACGCCTGGATAGTCAGTCCGGAAGCCAGGAGGGCTGAGATTATTTCCTTTCTGCTCCATGGGAGGCCTGTTTCCTCTTATTTCTCTGAGCCTGGGGGATGGGGAGAAGACTGAGGTCTGGCTGGGTGCCCTCCTTGGGCAGCTGTCCAGGCTGGTGATGCTGGGATTGGAACAAGTCCTATCCAGTCTGGGGCCAGGAGAGAAACTGAGGTATCCTAATGTAATAGTGAAGACCTGGAGTCAGCTCTGGGCATGGATGCTCCCTCTTCTGACCTTGAGGAAGGGACTTCATCACTTGGTTTCAGTTTTTCAATCTGAAAAATGGGATTAACAACCCCTCCCTCCCAGGATGGGTGTGAGGGTTCCTTGGTACTCTGCATGTACATGCTATGCTCACTGAAGGCAAGCTTACACGGTGCCTGGGTGACTCAGTTGGTTAAACATCTGCCTTCAGCCCAGGTCATGGTACCAGGATCCTGGGATAGAGCCCCAAGTCAGGCTCCCTGCTTAGCAGAGAGTCTGCTTCCCCCTCTTCTCTGCCCCTCCCTGAAATCATGCTCTCGCTCTCTCTCTCTCTCTCTTTCTCAAATTAAAAAAAAAAAATCTTAAAAAAAAATAGAGGCAAGCTTACTAATGGTGTTAGTGTAGTTACTGTTGCACCTGTGTGGCATGTGACCTTAGGCAAGTCACTTTTCCAGCTTCTGTCAATCGGGTGTAACACCACTCTGCCTCCAAGAGTGGCTGCAGACTTGGGGCTTGGCCTGTCGCAGTGCTCTGGGATCAGGTCCTTTTGTTTATCCTTGCTGTTGTTGTCAGTTCTCAGGAGAAACCCAGCCCCAGTCTCTCAGAAACCCATGTGCTCGTGTTTACTAGAAAGCACTGTGCCCCATGTCCCATTGAGGATTAGTGCCCCAGTGAGGATTTGTGGCTTGGTGTTGCATGCCCCACAAGTGACCCCAGCCCTAGTGGACCCCAGAGCCCCTTGGCAATCTCCATTTCATCTGGAAGGTGGGGAAACCTCCCCAGTGTTGGTATGGCAACCACTCTATCTCCCACATCTGGGAAGAACCTGATCTGCCCGTTTCCTGCTGCTGTGGGGCCCTGGCACCTGAGTTGGCCAGAGCCTGCAGAGCCTGGGGTGTGGGGAGGCTTGAGCCCTGTAGCCTCACTTCTCTGGGTGGGGGCAGGCCCACTGGGTCACCCATACTGGAGTGGGAGCCAGCGCCCAGGCTCCAGACTCTGGGGTGGAGGAGGGAGCTGGCAGCTTTATAAATAGAGGCTTTCTCTGGCTCTGCACGCCCACCCCCTGCTGCTGCCATCTTGCAGGGAGTAGCCTCGGACTCTGCAGATATCAGCCCCTGAAGCTTGGGGCCCTTACTCTTGGTAGGGGTGGGGCAGGGTGGCAGGCCAGAGGAGAAAGGGGCTTGACATGTGACCTGTGTAAGAGAGGGCCCTCGGGACCTGCGGAGGCCTGGCTGCCCAGAGATTGGAGTCAGTCAAGGAGGGATGGGAGGGAGTGTTTCATTATCAGTGTGTGGGCAGCTCCTCTGCATAGGTGCCTCCTTGCCACATCCCAGGACATGGTGGGTAAGCAGTCAGTCCCTCTGTGTACCAGGGACACCTTTTTTTTTTTTTTAAATTTATTTATTTATGATAGTCACAGAGAGAGAGAGAGAGAAAGAGAGGCAGAGACACAGGCAGAGGGAGAAGCAGGCTCCATGCACCGAGAGCCCGATGTGGGATTCGATCCCGGGTCTCCAGGATCGCGCCCTGGGCCAAAGGCAGGCGCCAAACCGCTGTGCCACCCAGGGATTCCCCCCCCCTTTTTTTTTTTTTAAATTTCCAGGGACACCTTTTAGAGCCTTGCTGCACCCACATCCAGTATGGAACCTGAGCTTGACTCTGGGAGGGCAGGATTCCTTTTGCATGGGTGATTCTAGGGTGGCTTCCCTGTCTCCAAACAGTGCCTCGAAAGTCAGGAAGGGTTTGGTCCAGGGGCTGGGGATAGCACAGCTAAGGGTATTGAGGCAGAAAAACCTAAGGGATACTGAGTATGGTGCTAGTATGGGTGGGAGAGGGCAGTGGAAGCCATAGTATTAATGCTATTAGTAGTAACCATACCTATAGTAGTAGTAGTGGTAGAAGGAATAATAGTAGAAGCCAAGAGGAGACGGTGGCACTCTCATCATCTGAGCCAGGCAGGCAGCACTGGACATGGGATGGATGCCCAAGAGGTCGGAAAGCCCCCATAGGATGTTGAACCTGGGTGGATGTGGGGTGTGAGGAATGGGTACCCTGAGGCTCAATGGGAAGTGACTGCTGTTAACCTTGCACATTTGGGTGACATGGTCACCTGAACTCGGGTGCCTGGTACGATTGGGGCTGGGGGGTTCCTAGGTAGCTCGGAGGAGGAATATGAAGGAGGCCTGCTATTTGTTTGTTTGTTTGTTTGTTTTTTGAGGCCTGCTATATGTGGTGATGATGACAGCAGCTGACATTTATTAGGCCTGTGCTGTGCATTTCCAAATATTCTGTGAGATAGATCCTATTATCCCCATTCGCCAGGGCAGGGGTGCTGAGGACCAGAGAGGTGACTTTGTCTCTCTAAAGCTTGGTTTCCTTATCTGGAAAATGGGGGCCAAGGCTACCCCTTGAGAGGCTGGGTGAGGTGAGGCCTGCTCAGGGCCTGGCTCTGGGAGGCCCCAGTATAGGGAATGTGAGGAGACCCAGGAATGGGGAGAGGTGGGAAGAGGCCAGGAGCAGCTGGTTCCCAGGTAGGGAGCCAGTCAGGCCTTAAGCCCTGAGAGAGAGCCAGTCAGGCCCAGCCCTACAGAGAGAAACCCAAGCCCTGTTGCATAATTGATGGCTGCCCAGCACTATCCAATTATCGGTGGCTGCCTCCAGCCCCTCCAGCTGGGCTGGAGCTGTCCTCGACCTCTGGATGATTTGTTGCTGCCAACTAGTCTGGGAAGGGCCTCCAGACTACCAGCCCACGATGACCCTGACTTGAGCACAGAGTGCCCCTTACTTAGCCTCAGTGGCATCATCTGTGACATGGGAAACCTGACCCAGCTATCTTAGAGGGCTGTCGGAGAAGTCGGTGGACCATTGGTGTCAAGTGCTTAGCCCAGGGTTGGGCCACCATGTGGTCACCGGTATCTGCTGTCATTATTGCTGATCTCACCCCCACAGATCTGCACCCTTTTGCTATTTGGCTATGACTTTGAGCAGGCTCTTTCTGCTGGAGCCTTCTAGATCAGAGGGGCCAGGACTTGGACCAGTCACAGATTGTTCCTGCTTGGCCCACATGGCTTCTGCCATCTGACCCATGGGAACATCTTGGTTCCTGCCTGGCCTTGGGGCAGGGCTGCCGAGCCTTCTGGGCCATGTGCATGCCCAGCAGTTGGCTCTGATGGGCTAGTGCTGTTCCTGTCCACCACACCAGGCGACCAGAGGCCAGCCATGTGGCTGTTCTGCCCACACACACTCCCTTTCCTTCCCAGCTGCTTCTCTACCCATCAGCTTCATGGCAGCAGCACCTTACCCTGAACACTGACTTCCTGCCAGACCCCAGGCTTCATGTCTTACCCACATCTTTCTTTCTTTCTTTTTTAAAAAAAAAAAAAAACAAAAAATTTTTTTGAGTAGGCTCCATACCCATCATGGAGCTCAGGCTCATGACCCTGAGGTCAAGAATTGCACACTCCACTGAGCCCCCCAGGTGCCGCTTACCCACATCTTTCTTATTTCATCCTATTTCAGCTGTGAGGGAGCAGCTATTATTTATTATTCTCATCTTTGAGCTCAGGAAACTGATGCCAGAGAGGCAAAGCCACTTGCCCAAGGTCACACATCTCATCAGTGGCAGAACTGAGATTGAAGCAGGTCCCCCTAATTCTGGGGCCTGGATTCCTCCCACTCACTCCCCTGACACACCTTCCCTGATGGCTTTTGGTCCCCCCAAGGAACCCCACAATCACCCTAGACTTTGCTTGTACCCCATTTATTCCCTGAATACCTGCTACCAAGTGCTTTTCTTCAGAGTCAGGTTAAGAGGACCCCTAGAAAAAGGCCCCCAGTGACTCCTTATTCCTCTAAGTTATATGCCAGATTTCGTACAAATGTGCATTTTTGTGGATGGGTGGGGGGAGGTTTTTTAGCTTTCTGGATTTCCAAAAGAAGCCATGATCCCCAACCTCTGGTCCAGCCTAATTTTACAGAGGGGCACATTGATGCACAGAGCAGGGTTGTAACTTGATCAAGGTCACAGAGCAGGTTAGGGCAAAACCAGTTTCTTGACCTCGGGCCTGGTTCTAGCTTGGGGGGGAGGTGTAGAAGCGTGGGTAGGGGCAGTCTTCGATTCCCCCCTCCTGAGCTCTCCCCACCCCTCAACCCTGCCCCCACAGTTCACAGAGGAGAAATTCGGCCAGGCTGAGAAGACTGAGCTGGATGCACACTTTGAAAACCTTCTGGCCCGGGCAGACAGCACCAAGAACTGGACAGAGAAAATCCTACGGCAGACAGAGGTGCTGCTGCAGCCCAACCCTAGTGAGTGGGTGTTGGGTGGCCCTAGGTGCAGGGTGGGAAGCCAGTGGCAGGAGGCTCCAGCTGCACAGACCATGCTGGGTGGGACTGGGTGGCAGGCAGGATATGGGTCAGCTTGTTGGGGCTTCTAAAGCCTGCTGGGAAAATAAAGAAAGAAAGAAAAGAAAAGAAAGAAAGGAAAGAAAGAAAGCAGGCCGGCCAGCCAGCCAGCCAGCCTGCTGGGGGCAAGGGGCAGATAAAGAGAACAGCAGACTTGGTGATGGGCTCCAACGGGCACTCTCTGGGGTAGCAGAAGTGTTAAGTTTTGCACAGAGGAGTTGAAAAATATGCTTGAAACTAAAACACACTTGAGAGAAGAGGCAGGAAAAACATGAGCCAGGTCTTTTGAGAGGGCAGCAGGACCCAGAGATTGAAGAGGGCTTTCCCAGAGTCACACTGCAATGAGCATGAGCAAGGAACAAGCAGATGCAACGGGCAGGAGAACCGTGGGGGAGGGAGGGGTGTCTTGGGGTCATGATGCCTATCCGGCCATAAGTTTGCTGTATAACTGAGTATCCCAGGAGCTTTCTGGAGCCAGCGCCAGAGCACTATCCATATGTATGTCAGCTCCTGTAAATCCATATTGTACAGAGGGGGAAGTGAATGGGCCTTCACTTTGGGGCTGTCACCCCAGCTATGTGACCTGGGGTAAGCATTTCATGTCTCTGAACTGTGTTTTCCTCCTCTCTGGAGTGAGGGGTCCTACAGGGTAGAGTGGCAGTTTCACTGGATTGAGATGAGCACTAGAAAGAGAATATTCGGCAAGTCACCAGGCCAGGCACCTCCATGGGCAGGCCCTGGTCTGGGTCTGTTTCTGTCCTCATGGCTTCCATCCTTGGGTTGTACTGAAGAGCCCTGTGGCTTTGGCTGCTGTCTCTCTGCAGGTGCCCGAGTGGAGGAGTTCCTGTATGAGAAGCTGGACAGGAAAGTGCCCTCCAGGGTCACCAACGGGGAGCTACTGGCGCAGTACATGGCAGAGGCAGCCAGTGAACTGGGGCCCACCACTCCCTATGGTGAGCCAAGCCCCATAACCAGCGTCAGGAGTCATAGTCTCTTGTTCTCGAACTTCCTCCATCCCTCCCTTCCTCCCTTCCTTTCTTGTCTTTTTTTAAGTACACAAATAATACCTACTTGTAAAAATTCATGAAATGAATAAAAATGAAAAAATTTTGAAATAAATGAAAATAAATAAATGAAAAAATTCATCCTACTTGTTTAAACTTCAGTCAATGCAGATGAAAATAGAATGAGAAATGGAAGTCTCTCTTAACCAGTTTTGGTTTGTGTGCATTTTTTAATGGGATCGTACTGTGTGTACCATTCTGCAATCTGATTTTTCAGCCTGGTATTGTGTTAGCTTCCTCTTCACAGTGGCACTTAGAGAGCCACCTCAATCTTTTTATTTTAATTTTTAAAGTTTTATTGAGATACAATTTACATACTAAAAATGCATCTGTTTTAAGTGTGTAATTCAGTGCTTTTTAGTAAATTTACAGAATTGTGCAAACATCTCCCCAGTCTGATTTAAAGAATATTTCTGTTACCTGCAAAAAGTGCCATGTCTACTTAGTCTCCAGTCCTGCCCCCTGCCAACTGCTAATGTGCTTTGTATGCCCATAAATGTGCTTTTTCTGAACATCTCATACAAATGGAATTATATGGTATGTTGTATGTTTTCTTTAAGATTTTATCTATTTTCTAGATAAAAGAGAGAGAGTGTGCATGCACATGCTCATGAGGAGCAGAGGTGGAGGAGGGGAAAAGAATTCCAAGCAGACTCCACTGGAGCCGGACTTGGGGCTCAGTCCTGTGACCCCCAAGAGATCATGACCTGAGCCAAAACCAAGAGTCAAACACCCAACCAACTGAGCTGACCAGGCGCCCCATAGCGTGCTATATTTTTCATCTGGCTTCTTTTACTGAGTGCAGTATCTCTGAGTTTTTATCCATGCTGTAATGTGATTCAGGATTTCATTCCTTGTTATTGTTGGATAGTATTCCATTGTATCCTAGGCTACATTTTCTTTATCCATTCCCCATTTGATAGACATTTGGGTTGTTTCCTTAAGAGCGTTTGCACACAGAACTTTGTAAGGACCTATGTTTTCACTTCTCCTGGATATCCACCTACGAATGGACTGGCTAGGTTATATGGTAAACTTACGTTTAGCTTTTTAGGAAGTTTACCAAACTGCCTTCCAGAGTGGCTGTGTACTTTTCTGCTCCCACCAGGATGGTGGTTAATTTCCCGGTATTTGTGGATTTTCCAAGTTTCCTTCCGTTGTTGATTTCTAATTAATTTTACTGTGGTCAGAGACAATGCTTGTATGACTTTAATCCTTTTACATTTATTAAGACTGATTTATGGCCTAGTATATGGCCTCTCCTGGAGAATGTTGGTGTTCACTTGAGATCATATGTTATGTTGTTGTGGAGTGGAGTATGGTAGAGGCCACAGGCCAAATTGGTTGATAGGGTTGTTCTAGCCTTCTGTGTGCCTGCTGATTTTGTCTTGTCCTATACATTTTTTTAATTATTCATTTATTCATGACAGACACACAGAGAGAGAGAGAGGCAGAGATACAGGCAGAGAAGCAGGCCCCACGCAGGGAGCCCGACATGGGACTCGATCCCGGGTCTCCAGGATCACGTCCTGGGCTGAATGCAGGCGCTAAACCGCTGAGCCACCCAGGGATCCCCTTGTCCTATACATTTTTGAGAAGAATTGAAGTCTCCCAACTCTGTTGAATTGTCTGTTTCTGGCTTCAGTATGTCAGTGTTTGCTTTGTATATTTTTGGAGATCTTTTGTGAGGCCCGTATGTTATTGTTATATCTTCCTGATGAATTGACTCTTAATGTAAAATATTGTTCTTTGTCTTTGGTCACATTTACATTAAAGTCCCTTTTATCTTATAGCAGTTCACGTGCTCCTATTCTCTTACGGTTATTATTCACATAGCATACCTTTTTCTGTCCTTTTATTTTCAACCTATTTATGTCTTTAAATCCAGTCTTTATTATAGACAGTATATATTTGGATTTTTTTTTTTAAATTCACTCTGACCATCTTTACCCTTTGATTGGAGTGTTTAATCCATTTATATTTAATGCAATTATTGGTGTGGTTGGATTTACATATGCCATCTTATTATTTTCTTGAAGACTCAGGTCATTTTTGTTCATCTGACCCTCCTTTACTCCTTCTTTTGTGTTAAATAGATATTTTCTAGTGTAACGTTTTAATTTCTTTTTTTTAATTTTTTTAAATTTTTTTTTGTTTTATTTATTTATGATAGGCACACAGTGAGAGAGAGAGAGGCAGAGACACAGGCAGAGGGAGAAGCAGGCTCCATGCACCGGGAGCCTGACGTGGGATTCGATCCTGGGTCTCCAGGATCGCGCCCTGGGCCAAAGGCAGGCGCTAAACCGCTGCGCCACCCAGGGATCCCTTCTTTTTTTTTTTTTTTTAAGATTTTATTTATTCATGAGAGACACACAGAGAGAGAGGCAGAGACATAGGCAGAGGGAGAAGCCGGCTCCATGCAGGAAGCCTGATGTGGGACTCGATCCCAGGACTCCGGAATTACTCCCTGAGCCAAAGGCAGACACTTAACTGCTGAGCCACCCAGGCGTCCCATCTTTGTTGCTTTTTTAACAAAGTTTTTCTTAACTGGTTTTACAATATGAATTACAATGTATATTTTAATTTATCCCAGTCTGTTTCAGGATAATATTGACTTAATTCCAGTAAAATAAAGACACTTTACTCCAATATAACTCCATCCCTTTTCCCTTTCTTTGTGCTATTATCATATATATTTCATTTCTATTTTGTATGAGCCTGACTATACGCTTTTATAGTTATTTTATGTAGTTTTTTTTAAATCAGTTAAGAAGGAAAATAATATGCTTGTATTGTCTTTTATATTTGCCTGTTTAATTATCTTTACTGGTGGCCTTTTTTTTTTAAAGGAAATTTCTTTTTTTTTTAAAGATTTTATTTATTCATGAGAGACACAGAAAGAGAGAGAGAGAGAGAGAGAGAGGCAGAGAAGAGACACAGGCAGAGGGAGAAGCAGGCTCCATGCTGGGAACCCAATGTGAGACTGGATCCCAGGTCTTCAGGATTAGGCCCCAGGCTGAAGGCAGCGCTAAACCACTGAGCCACCCAGGCTGCCCTTTACTGGTGGTCTTTATTGCTTTATGTGGATTCGGCTTACTATCTGGTGTCATTACCTTTGAACCTGAGTATTTCTTCTATGGCAGGGTATCTACCAATGAATTTTCTCAGTCTTGTTTCTCTGGCAATGTCTTTATTCCATGTTCACTCTTGTAGGACAGTTTTGCTATATGTAGTATTCTTGGATGAGAATTTTTTCCTTTTTTTGCTTTGACTATATCATTTCTTTTTTCTTTTTTTTTTTAAGATTATTTATTTAGGGATCCCTGGGTGGCGCAGCGGTTTGGCGCCTGCCTTTGGCCCAGGGCGCAATCCTGGAGACCCGGGATCGAATCCCACGTCGGGCTCCCGGTGCATGGAGCCTGCTTCTCTCTCTGCCTGTGTCTCTGCCTCTCTCTCTCTCTCTCTGTGACTATCATAAATAAATTAAAAAAAATTAAAAAAAAAAGATTATTTATTTATTTGACAGAGAGAGAGAGAGCACAAACAGGGCAAGTGGCAGGCAGAGGGAGAGGGAGAAGCAGGCTCCTTGGGGAGCAGGGAGCCTGATGTGGGACTTGATCCCAGTATCCTGAGTTAGGCCCTGATTAGATGTCTAATCAGTACACCCAACATGGGGCTCGAACTCAGGGCCCTGAGGTAGCTTGTGTGCTCCACCAACTGAGCCAGGCTGATACCTGGCCTCATTTGTTTCTGATGAGAAGTCATTCTTTAATTTCCTCCTGGCTCCCTTGTTTGTGATGAGTTGCTTTTCTCTTGCTGCTTTTGAGACTTTTTGTCTTTGTCTTTCATCAGGTTGACCAATATGTCCTGGCTGTTGATCTCTTTGATTCATCCCATTTTGGGTTTGTTGAGTTTCTTGGATATGGACATTAGTGTTTTTCATCAAAAATCAGAACATTTTCAGCTATTATTTCTTCAGATATTTTTTCTGCCCCTTGCTCTCCTCTTCTTCTGGGACTCCCATTACTCATATGTTAGTTTGTTTCATTTCTCTTTTTGTTCTTCTGATGAGGTCATCTCTATCGATCTTTTAAGTGGTGAATTTTCCTTCATCTAGCTCACCCTTGCAGTTGAGCCCTTCTGGTGGATTTTGCATATCAGTTGTGATACTTTTCAACTGCAGAATTTTATTTTATTTTTAATACTTTTCTTTCTTCCTTCTTTTTTTAAGATTTATTTATTTATCCATGAGAGACACAGAGAGAGAGGCAGAGACACAGGCAGAGAAAGAAGCAGGTTCCTTGCAGAGAGCCTGATGTGGGACTCGATCCTGGATCCTGGGATCAGGCCCTGAGCTGAAGGCAGACGCTCAATCACTGAGCCACCCAGGCGTCCCGATTTTTTTTAATACTTTTCATCTCTTTCTTGATTTACGTTATTTGATGAGTCATTGTCATCTTACTCTTTAATTCTTTAAGCATTAAAAAAACAAAAACAAAAACAGGGGCGCCTGGGTGGCTCAGTCATTTAAAGCATCTGCCTTCAGCTCAGGTCATGATCATGGGTTTGAGCCCTGCATCAAGCTTTTTGCTCAGTGGGGAGTCTGCTTCTTTCTCCCTTTCCCTCTCTGCTCCTTCCCACTGCTTGTTCTCTCTCTCAAATAACATTTTAAAAAGGCATTTTAGGGCAGTCCCGGTGGTGCAGGAGTTTAGTGCCGCCTGCAGCCCAGGGTGTGATCCTGGAGACCCGGGATCGAGTCCCATGTCAGGCATGGGACTGCATGGAGCCTGCTTCTCCCTCTGCCTGTGTCTCTGCCTCTCTGTGTCTCTATGAAGAAATAAATAAAATCTTTAAAAAAAAAAAGGCATTTTAAAAAACATAGTTGTAATTGCCTAGAAGTCTTTGCTAAATCTAGGGCACCTGAGTGGCACAGCAGTTGGGTGTCAGACTCTTGGTTTCAGCTTGGGTCATGGTCTCAGGGTCATGGGATTGAGCCCTATGTCAGGCTCCGTGCTTGGCGGGGAGTCTGCTTGAGGATTTTGTCTCCCTCTCCCTCTGCCTTGCTCCCTCCCACCCCCAACACACATGTACTCTCTCTCCCTTCCTTCTTCCCTCTGTCTCTTTCAAATCTTTTGTTTTCTCTCAAATCTTAAAAAAAATATTTGCTAGATTTAACAACTGAGTGTCCTTAGAGATGGTAACTATTGATTGCTTTTTTCTTCTGTGTATTGAGCATACCTAGGTATTTCTTTGTGTGTTGCACAGGGTTTTGTTGAAATACAGACATTTTAGATAATATAGTAGCTATGGATTTTGAATCACTTAGGGGTTGTTCTTGCTGCTTGTTGGCTTAGAGACTTGCCTGAGCTAATTGTTTAGAGTCTGTGTGCAGCTACTGCTTTTGCTTTTTTTTTTTAATCATTCTTTTTATTTTCAAGCTAGCTTCCTAGGGCTTGCTCCTGGGTTAGCATATGTTAGTAGTCAGGCAGTGATAGATTATTCAGAGGTTGCACTTAAACATTTTGCACCATTAAGGCTTTGCTGATGAATTTGTGGGTGTGTTGGGGAACACATTCAACGTTCAAGTAGTTTATAAGTCTGCCTAGCTTTTGCTTTGTATGGAAAGCCTCACATTTGGCCAAGGATGAGTAGATACCCAGGGTCCTCTCCAGTCTCTCCTGAGTATGCTACGCATACCTGTGCAGCCTTCCAGACCACCAGAGATAACCTGGGAGTTTGTCAAGGCCCAAATGACGATCTCATTCCAAGGTCTCCTATTAAATTTCTGGCAGACCTGTTCCAACCAGTATTCCCTATTCAAATCAGCTGTGATGTTGTTCTTTCCCAATTATCTCAATTATCTGCCATTGAGATCACTATTGTTTTTGACAAGGTCCCATGGATTTTTCTGTGCTGCAGCCCCAATCAAGTCAGCCCCCATACCACTACCTTCCCCTGCAACCAACCCCCTAGCTCCCCACCCCTGCCCACCTAGCAGTGAAGCTGCCCACCTCAGGTAAAGTTACAACACCACAGGGTGGATGAGAAGGGAGTTCCCTCCTCTGGCTGGAAAGCCACAGGCTCCTGCTGTTCTTAACCAAGGTCCTGTAGTTCCTGAGTAAATAGTCTCGGTTATTTGCCTTTGATCAACTTCCCGAGTCCAGAAATGTTTGCTTTTGACAATTATATCCACTTTTATAATTGCTTTTTGGGAGCAGGATTTGTTGAGCTCCTTTCTGTGTTCTGGAAGTTTTAATGCTGAGTGCTGTTCCATGTTTTGGATGTCCCACTATTTATTTGTCAGTCTCCAGTTGATAGATGTGTAAGTTGCTCCATATGTGTCCAGGCTAGCCATTCTGCATTGAGCATCCTTTGCTCACGCCTCCTCAGCATGACTCTCTTTGGGCCCTCCCTTACTTCTGGGGATCAGAGCGGCCTGAACCTCAGCCTCTTCCTCACCCTTAAACTCCATTTAATCAGGGAAGACACTAATCAAGGTGGCAGAAGCTGAAAAGCGCCTGGGAGCTGCAGAGAGGGACTTTATCCACACAGCCTCCATCAACTTCCTGACACCTCTGCGCAACTTCCTGGAAGGGGACTGGAAGACCATTTCGGTGAGAACCCTGGGGCCAGTCTGCTTCCTGGTCACTGTGGCTTCCTCCTCCTTGGAGCTCTCCTCCCATCCTGGGAACCCAGGACTCCCAGGCCTCCCGTGACATGGCTCTTGTGGGCTGAGTGACAAAGAGTAGGTGATTTCCCCTGTCTGGGCCTCGGTTTCCCTGCCTGGACCAGATGGCCTCGTGGGCCAGTCCTGCCACTGCCAAGGATCCCCCAGGGCTTCCCTGGGTTTCACTCTTCCGTGTTCCCCCACCCCACAGAAGGAAAGACGTCTCCTCCAAAACCGACGTCTAGATTTGGATGCCTGCAAAGCACGGCTGAAGAAGGCTAAGGCCGCAGAAGCCAAAGCCACGGTAGGTGTCCCTTCTGGTCTCCTGCCCACCTAGCTCTGTTTAGAGCCAAGGGAGGGGGAAGGGACCTGATGTTTGGCATGATCTTTCTTCCCTGTCCCTGCCTGGAGAGGCCTGGCTGCGGGGGCGCTGGTCCTGGCTGACCACTTCTGGTCATGCCTCTCTGTCCCTACCCCCAAGGGAACCTTGACCACCCAGAGCTCTGGGCCCCAGGGCTAACATTTATGGGGTGGGTTGACCAGCAGCACCCCGACCTGGGCTCAGGGCATGCCACAGCCTCCCCAGACAGACAACCAGGTGGAGTTTCTCGCATGGCCCTGCCCTGTCCTCCCCGAATGCTCGGCTCTGTCCCCCGGCTCTGCCCGGGCATGGCTCCCCCTTACTAACTCCCCCACCCACTGCTCCAGCGCTGGTCCCTGGGTGCCCTGATGGTGTGAACCCTGGAGCTGGACCACCCACCTGCACAGGGGTATGATCGAGGGCCCTTTCAGTAGCCCCATGGCCCAGGGTCAGGCCAGGGCCTCTCCGTTTACTCTCAGCTACCTAAGTCCTGCTTGGCCCAGCCGGGCCAGTCAGTGCAGTGTGGTGCAGTTTGACCAGGGCTAGGCCAGGGCGGGGAGAGGGGGCCTGAGGGTGAGCACACTCCTGGTGTGTCAGGCTGCTTGCAGGGTGGAGGGGCCTAGAAGCCACCTCACACCCGGGAACCCCCAGTCTGGAACAGGCCAGGGGTACTACCACCTGTAACTGCTCGGGCTCTTGGCTGCCGATGAGGGTTCGGGCCCCAAACTCTCCTGCTGTCCCCCTCCCACAGTGTGGCCACTCGGGATCATGGAGTCTGGGCCTTCCTGCCTCTGGTGAGAGCCAAGGGCAGGGTCTCAGCTCATCTAGGTGTGTGGGGTCCAGACTAGAGGCAGGGGCTCAGCCACTGGAGTCTTTTCGTAGTTGGGTAGGATGACCAATGGCTCTAAGGATGACCTCTCTAAGTCACCTGGATAGGATGGTCTCCCATCACTCAGGGCTGGACAGTCTCTGGAGTACCTTGTCCAGAACAAGCTCGTCCTCCATCAGCCAGGCCAGGGGAGCCTTGCCTCAGTCACTAGAGCGGCACGACCTCTTCTCTGGTTGTCTGGCCCAGACAACCTCAAGCCCTCGGGTTAGGCCAGGTACCCTCTACGGAGCTAAGCCAGAGCCGCCCAAGTACAGTGAGCGCCCCAGAGGACCGAAGCCCGGCAGGTCATCCCTCACCCTGCCCCCTAGACACACGCACACACACATATGAAGACTCCTCCCACAGGGCAGGGTCATCTGCCCGCCTGCCTGTTCCCTGCTGTCCCCTCTTGCCAGGGCCTGGGGGGCCTGCTCCTGCCTGTGCTGTGGACTCACTAACCTCTTTGTTTTTATTCCTTTCCGTTCTGCTTTGGGTAACTTGGCTCAGTGTGAGGGAGATGTGAGTATACCTGTCCCACGTGCTGTGCTGCTTCTGGTTTGCCCACCCCAGCCTCAGGCCACAGTGGTGTGGCTGGCCCAGGGCACATCCTGGGCATTTTGCAAGCAGCTGGTCTCCCCCACCCAGAGCATCTGCCTTGCGTAGCCTCTGGTTTAGGAGGACCGCAGGCATTGGAGCCTGAGAGTCAGCTTTTTGCAAATGTGGAAAGCCTGTCACCCTGTCCATCCATGCATCCATCTGTCCACCTTGTTGTGGGGGAGGGGTCTGGTCCTTGCTGCAGGAGTGAGAGATGTGCTGTGTGGAGATTCTGGAATGGAGAAAGCTGGGGTCGGGGTGATTTGTCAGGAGGAAAGTGGCGCTAGCTGGGGTATCCAAGTGAGGCTAGGGTCCAGGGAGGAGGGGTCCAGACCCAGTCTGCGATTCACCGAAAGGCTCCCTGGCGTCTGCTTTCCTGGGCTCCCAGCGTGATCGCCCACCTGGTCTTTGTCTGACTCTCCAAGTTCCCAAGCCTACCTTGTCCCCAGGAGCTTGGAGCAGGGAGAAGGGGTCCATGTGGTATGTGGCTGCAGCCTCCTGTCCCTTGGGCCGGGACTCCTGGCCTCTCCCTGTGGGAGACTCTGGGGTGGCGCCTGGCCCTGTGTGACCCCCCTCCCCCATGACCTCTGTTCCCGCCAGACGGTGCCTGACTTTCAGGAGACTAGACCTCGTAATTACATTCTCTCGGCCAGCGCCTCCGCGGTAAGCGCCCCACCCCTGGCCGCCTGGCCTCCCTCCATGTCCCCATGCACCAGGGGGCAGCAGAGCAGCAGGAGCACGGGGCGGTCCCCAGAGCCAAGAAGGCAGCAGCCCCAACCCCGGCCGCCTGCCTGTGCTCCTGTGCCCGCATCACTGGCCTTGCTTGTCTCTGTACTGCGCTGGAGGTGGAGGCTGGGCCAGCTTCCCCGTCTCCCGGGGTCCCCGAGGCCTGCCTGCCCCCTCTCCCCGCTGGCCCACGGCGGGCTCGCTGACCCCGAGGCAGGTGACCAGGGTGGGGGTCTTCATCCAGCTGCCTCCTCAGCACATCTGACCAGTGTCCTGGCAGCGAGCAGAGGCCCGGAGAGCATGCAGGGAGAGTGGGGCACTGCGGGTGGGAGCAGCAGGTTGGGGACGGCGTGTCTGGAGGAGGCTGGTGGCACCCATGGGAGCCAGGGGACATGGGCAGTGTTGGGTCACGAAGCCTTCAGGGGTCTTGGTATCTTTTCTCTATGGCCATGTTGAGCTACTCCTAGGTGTTCACCAATTAGTTTGGGACATGGGCCAATCACACCTCTCCCTTTCACCTGTCACCAACACAGCTGTGTCTTCTCTGCCACCTTCTCTGACCTTCCATTTCCATGGGGGGTGGCACGCTCTCGCTCAGGCCCTCTAGCTCTTCGCCGCCACTGCCATCGCATGTTGCCCGTGTGTCTGTGCTCTCATGCAGTGGCCCGGCCATCGTCCCTCAGGGTGACAACCCCAGTGCACTCTGGCAGGCCCCTCTCGCTGGGTGTCCTCCATCTGTACACGTGGAGGGAGCTCCCCACGTTTTGGTTTTCTGAATGGCACTGTGGTGGGTCCGCAGGGCTGGCCTTGTTCTGCTTTCCATCTTTCTGGTTATCATCTTAGGATAGACTTCCCACACTGGGCAGGAGAAACGGGTCTCCTAAGTTGTGGTGGGGGGAGGGGGGTCTTTCTTCTTTAGACTCTGGATGACACTTCCTGCCCCCCTTCTTGGGCCGAGTGGAAGGAGGAATATCCTGGAGGGTGGAGACTGCCCTGTTTTTTTCTTTTGCCATTGAACCCCAGTGTGACTCGGGCACGAGGCTGCCTTTCTCTGCCGAAGGACAGAAAGGTTCAGTGACTGGCCTAGGGTCACACGGCCCTGCGTCCCAGCCCACCAGGCTTAGCTGATTGTCAGGGTGGGACAGGGGACACTGGGTCACCCATCAGAGCCTGGGGGCTTATGCTATAGGAGAAACCCAAGCAGGACTTCCCAGGTGGCTGTCCCCTACCTTCCCTGCATGTGGCATGTTGAACTGGACTGTGGTTGTCAGTGACCCCACTCACACCAGGCCACGTCCCAGCCTCAGCTCCTGGTTGGGTTACAGGGAGGGAGTGGGGAATGATACGGGATGGGAAGAGGTGGGGTCTTGGGGAGCTGGGGCAGGGCGTGGGATCTGGGGTTCAGCCATCCTCACCCCACTCCCCGCTGACCAGTGCCCCCTCCCTCCCCTGCTGCCCGGTCCTGTTGTGGTCTTCGAAGCTCTGGAATGATGAGGTGGACAAGGTGAGTCTGGGCTCAGGAGCCTTGGGGGCAGACTTGAAGCAGGTGGGAATGGGGGGAGGAGTCCGATTGGCTTCTAGTTCTGGCCTCTGCCCCAGGCCAGGGCCACCGTGGGGGGAGGGTATCACTTCCTCTCTGGGGAAGCCGCCTCCGTGGTTCCTCTGAGCACAGGGGGAATGGCAGTGTCACATGGCAAGGGACTGGGTGTCGAAGGTGGTGGCAGAGCACCTGCGGCTCTGTCTCTGACTGCTTGTCACAGACCAGGTCCAAAGGGGTTCCCGCTCGGGGAGCGACATTGGGTGGGCAGTGCACCCTGTCAGGTCCTACCTCCAGAGTAGGACAGGAGGCTGCTCCCGGTGGGCCTCTGGGCTGCAGGAAGAGGCTGGCAAGAGGGGAGGAGGGGGCAGCCGTCAGACACTCCCCTGTGCCCTTCCAGGCCGAGCAGGAGCTCCGGGTGGCCCAGACAGAGTTTGACCGGCAGGCAGAAGTGACCCGACTCCTGCTGGAGGGGATCAGCAGCACCCACGTAAGTCCCACCCTGTATGCCCCCCGCAGTCCACGGGCCTCCCGCCCCCTCCCCACCGCATCCCCCACCCCCACCCTGCACTGCACTCGTCCACAGGAAGGCAGGCATGGAGGTAAATCTCAGGACCAGGGGGCAGTGCTTGAGCCCCTGCTGCTGGGGTGGAACTTTAGCTTTGTTCCAAGTGCCAGAGGCTGGGTAGCCCTCCCCTGTCCCAGGGAGCAGGTAGCTGCTGGGGCAGAGGATGGAGTGCTAAAGGCCAGGGTCTGCAGAGGGACAGGGTGTCAGGGTGGGAGGGGCATCAGGGGACAGTGGCAGGGTCTGTGGGGGGTGAGGTGGGGGGAGGAGCGTCAGGGTCTGGAGGGCGTCAGGGTCTGTGGGGGCAGGTCTGGTCTGCTGGGACACCCCCTGCTCAGAGCCTCTCCCTGCCCCCGCCCCCCAAAGGTGAACCACCTCCGCTGCCTCCATGAGTTCGTGGAATCCCAGACTACATACTATGCGCAGTGCTACCGCCACATGCTGGACTTACAGAAACAGCTGGGCAGGTGCTCATTGGGGTCCCCACCCCCCCCACCCCCAGACCCAGCGAGCAGCCCCCCACCCCAGCCCCCAGGCAAGAACCTTCTGCTCCCGGAGCTCAGCCAGCTGCCCATGATGCACAGGGCGGTTAGAGGGCCATCACACACCCCTCTGGGTGGCAGGGGGGTGGCTGGCCAGGGCCGGCTCAGTACAGCTTACCTTTCCCATTGCCTTGCTTTCCCCCTCATGCCGCCAGCTCCCAGGGAGCCATGTAAGTAGCCAGATCCCCTGCCTCGGTGGCGGTGGGCCTAGGTGGTGTTCGGTGGAGCCCACGGGGATCTCGGCTGACATGTCACCCCTCCCCAGATTCCCAGGCACATTCGTGGGTACCACAGAACCTGTGTCCCCGCCCCTGAGCAGCACCTCGCCCACCACCACCGTGGCCACTATGCCTGTGGGCCCCTCTGTGGCTGGGCTGGCCCCACCGGGAGAGGCCGCCCTCCACCTAGAGGTGACCCCACCCGCTAGCGGGACCCGGAAGGCCCGGGTGCTCTACGACTACGAGGCAGCCGACAGCAGTGAGTTGGCCCTGCTGGCGGATGAGGTAGGCCCGGAGCCATGGGTGATGATGAGGTGATGGCCAAGGGCGGCTTGGGCGCCCCCCACTCCACTGCTGTCAAGTCTCTGCGGGGCCCGGGGGTGGAGCAGGGTCTGGGGTGAGTGGAGGCAGCTGCAGCTGAGGAAGCAGCCTCTCTGCAGAGCAGGTGAGGAGGTGAGCTCCCGCCTCTGGAGGTGCAGGTGGTTGGTCTCCCAGAGCCATGGCAGCCCTGTCCCTGCGCCATCGTGGCACCAGTTCTGCCCCGGCTAGGCTATGACCTCCCTCTCTGCCCTCCTCTTCAGCTCATCACCGTCTACAGCCTGCCTGGCATGGACCCGGACTGGCTCATCGGCGAGAGAGGCAACAAGAAGGGCAAGGTCCCGGTCACCTACTTGGAGCTGCTTAGCTGAGCCAGCCCCTCCCAGGCCCCTGCCCACTCTGGCCTGGGCTGGAGGATGGGACCAGCCGTGCCACTTGTCCACGGGTGACTCAGCTGCTCGGGATGGGGACACCGGCCCCATCCTGTCCGTGCCCCCGGCCATTCAGCCCCGCTTCTGGAGCCCCCTGCCCCACCTGCCTCCCCTGCCCTCCCAGCTCCAGCTAAGGAGGGAGGGCCTGGCTGCAGTGCTGGCTTCCACGCTGCACCATGGCCCCTGCAGGAAGCCGGGGTACACCTCTGGCAAGAGAGCACCTGCCTTTTGGTTGCCAAGAGCAGCAAGGTAGGGGAGGCAGACCAGTGTGGCAGGCCCGGGCCAGGTGCCGGCCCCTCTGGATGGACCAGAGCGGAGGGGCAACTGGCCGGAGCAGCGTCTCCCAGTGCTGCCCTCCCCTCCCGTGCGCACGTGGACAGCTCCTGCCGGGCTCCGTGGCTGCAGCCTGCACCTCTCCACCCTCTTTGTAACTTTAACTGATCTTTTTACTCTGCCTGTCTGCTTGCTCTCTGGCCAGTGACAAATAATAAACCCTCCTTCCCATGCATGTGGCCTGGGCTCCTGTCGGGCTGCCTTTGCGGCCGCCCTCTCTTCCCTAGGGTCCGCTGCTCCCACACACAAGGCTGCATACGAGACATTCTGTTCCTGAGAGAACCTTTCCCAGACGTGGGCCCAGTGGAGTGGACTGGACAGTACATGACGGTTTCAGCAGCTAATTGCTGGCTACCCGTGCTTCCTTCCCATGGCCGGCCCCTGAGCCTTGTGCATTCATGTGTGCTTGTGTTGTCCTCACAGATGAGGGAGAGAGCAGAAAGCCAGCTACCTCCTCAAGGTTCCATAACTGGCAAGTGGCTGCACTCAGGGACTCTAGCCCAGGTCAGTCTGGTTCTAGAAACCTCAAGGGGTGGCTCTGGGCTACAAGCCAGGTTTCAGGTGAAGGCCCCTAACCAGGCCCCAGTCTCTCAGTATGAGGTCCTGAGGAGGCTGGAGGCTGATAAGCCACAGCCCCAGGCTTCTGAAAGGGGGGCAACAAGGAGCGGATAGGAGTGGATCTTCTGGAAAGGCTACACCTCATGATATAAATTCAGCTAGCTGGTAAATGGAGTGTGGCAGAGGTGAGGGGACGAGAGCTGGGCGGGTCAGGGAAGGGAAAGTTAAAGTGTCCACCCAGCTCCCTCGCTTGCTCAAACATTAACAGAGGCATGTTAGCGAGTCAACCATCAATAAATACCCCGCGTGCCCCAAACTTCCACTCCACTTCCGGGTGCCTGGCCAAGGAAGACATACATGCTTGGTGAAGAAAGCTCGATGTTCATCCCGAGGCCTTGAAGACACACCACACATCTGTCTATAAACAGCATTTTAATATTTGTATAAATAGACCACAGTGTTACCAAAAACTGCAAGAACAGAGCATGGAAAACAGATTTTCAGACCCATGCACACAGCCTCTCCTGGCCGCACGTGACACTGGCTCCGGCCTCAGCTGGGTTGGGGTCCGGGGTCTGGTGCGGTAGGGAATGCTTGAGGGAAGGGCCACACCCTCAAGACATTTTTAACTTGAGGGTGTGAGTGCAGCAGACTCATGGCTCCCACCTGGCTGTGGACTTCTTGATCTACTAGAAAAATAATGGCAGCAGGTGGGCAGCTGGAGTCCTGGCTGCTCTGGGGGGCAGGAGACAGGTGCTGCTCTCAGCCCCACGCGGCTGTCGGGCCGGCTGGCAGCACCCCAGCTGTCCAGGGCCGCCACGCAGGCTGGTGGAGTGGGCCGGGCCGCCACCCTATCTCTGCACGTGCCGCACGAAGGCCTGCACCAGCTGGATCAGAGGCTCCTGGCTCTCTGGGCTGGCCTTGGAGAGAGACGTGGACTTGCCCTGAGGCGAGGGGAGGACGCCAGCAGCCGGGGAGCTGGGGGCCCCCCGGCGGAAGTAGCGGGAGAGGCTGGAGAGCAGCGTGCTCTAGGAGGTAAGAGGTACTAGGTGAGGCCCCTGCAGTGCCCTGGGAGGTGGGGGCCCGTCCCCAGCAGCCACCCCCTCTGGTCTGAGCCCTCTTTCCGTCTGTACCAACTCCGAGCTGAGCTCCTGCTTCATCCGCTGTTTGTCCCGGGGATGCACAGCTGGATCCCTAAGGTAGCGCACGGCCTGAGAGATGAGCAGGTAGAAGCAGTTCTCCATGGTGAACATCAGGAGGGACCTGGGGAGAGGGCAGGGCGGGCTGCTGCGGAGAGCCATGCTGGCAGGCAGCAGGCATGCCGCCGAGCCAACGGGACGGCTGGCCCACAGCTGCCCGGACCCCAGCTCAAATCCTAGGAGGCCCTTCTTACTTTAGTGTCCTGGTCCCCTCTGCCTGTGTGCTGAGCCCCACAGCCTGGGTGAGCGGCTCCTTCTTCTTATCCAGCTGGAGGAAGAGGAACAGGGTAAAAAAGTAAGGGAACGGTAGCAGGTGTGGCTCAGCGCAAGCTTCCTATTCGGCAGGCGCCACGTGCAGCAGCCGCCTGCTGCCTCACTCGGTCCTCCAGAGAATCCTCCCGGGGAGGCTGAGTCACACTCGTTCAGGAAGAGGAACGGGCTCGGGAGGGCCAATAACGTGCAGGAGGCCACAGACGGTGGGACGCTGGGAAGACTGGAAAGACGAGAGTCTAACAGCTGCAGCTTACCTCTCCGAGCATGTTTAGGGCCACATTCACTGTGGCCAGAAGGGTCCCGAAGGAGGGGGCCACTTCAGAGTCAAAGGTGGGAGTGGTAAAACTCAGGGCAAATAGGAAGTTGTATTCAGCGAGGTCCAGGGACTGCAAGGAAAGACGGGAGCAACATAGAGTGCCGCCTGGAGCCCAGACGGCTCTAAGGGCAGAGCAGGGCACAGGAGAGCCTCGGCAGCTCGCCGCTGGGAGGCTACTGGCCTGGCACGCGGGGCGGCCGGTACCTGGTCCAGCAGGATTTGGCAGACATCCGGGGTGAAGTGGCGCAGGGCCGCCAGGGTCCTGCTGAGGATCTTGAGAAGTCCATACTGGACGGTGTGTAAGGCTCGCTGCTCGGAGGCCTCGGTGTCAGCAGTGGGCTGCTTGGAGGATGAGGAGGAGGAGCAGGAGAAGGGAGCGGGGGCAGCAGCGGGGAGCCGCTGGACACGGGGGGCAACAGCTGAGGGAACGCCGTCCCCATTTTTGTTCTAAGGAGACAAGAAATGGAGGTGGGGTCCCAAGAGGCTGGGGTGAGGCCCCACAAGCTGCTGGGCAGGGAGGGCGTGTACCTGCAAGCAGTGCTGCAGCATCTTACGGCTGTGCAGGAGCGACGTGCAGGCCTGGCACAGGTACCCCAGGCTGACCTGCATTAGACACAGGGCCAAGGCAGGGGGCACTCAGCAGCAGCCTGACCGAACGAACCCCAGCCCACTCCCAGTCCTGGTGTGCTTGCTCCATCCCCAAATTCCCATAGCACTTGCCTCCCTCTGTTCTCAGGCTGCAAACCTCACAGCCACTAAGGACACTTGACTACAAGCTAGGGCAAGAGGTGCCTGGGAGGGCTCCCCTGGGCCCTAGCTCGATGTCTAGCATGTGAGATGGGTTGTAAGGAAAAAAGTAAGAAGGGGGGGCAGGCAGCCTGGGTAGCTCAGCGGTTTAGTGCCTGCCTCCTTCGGCCCAAGGGCCTGATCCTGGAGACCTGGGATCGAGTCCCATGCTGGGCTCCCTGCGTGGAGCCTGCTTCTCCCTCTGCCCCTCTCCCTCTCCCTCGGTCTCTCATGAATAAATAAATAAAATTTAAAAAAAAAAAAAAAAAGAAGGGAAGGGTCCCCCGCTGGCTCAGTTCGGGGAGCATGTGGCTTTGGATCTCAGGGTCATGAGTTCAAGCCCCAAGTTGGTGGTGGAGATTGCTTAAATCAACTTTAAACTACAAAGAAAGGGGATGCCTAGGTGGCTTAGCGGTTGAGCATCTGTCTTTGGCTCAGAGGGTGATCCCAGTCCTGGGATCGAGTCCCACATTGGGCTCCCTGCATGGAGCCTGCTTCTTCCTCTGCCTGTGTCTCTGCCTCTCTGTGTGTCTCTTATGAATGAACAAAATCTTTAAAATAAATAAAAATAAAATGAAATAGAAAGAAAATGGGGATAGTTTCCCGTTTTATAGAAGAAAAAGGCTCAGGAACCATGAAATGACCTGGCCAAGGTCAGACAAATGGCAAGAGCCTGCCTGACTAAAGGACCCTCCAGTTCTGCTGGCCTATCACTAAGGGATGTGAACCAACGTCTCCAACTGAGCCCAAGTTCTAAAGCTACAAGGCTGCCCTTTACTTGGGAAAGAAAATCTTAGCTTCAGAGAAAACAACGTGAAAAAACCAAAGTCTGTACGTGCTGAGCAAAATGCCCACGTTCTAGTAATGAGCCTGCAATTCACCAGAGGTGCCCCCCAGACAGTGCCCAATGCCCCTCACCCAAGCACATCCGCAGACCACCTCCCAAAGGAACCCAGTCTGAGGCTCACCTGGACATCCCGCATAAGCTGAGGCAGGTGGAAGTGCCATTCCTTCATGAAATTGGAGAGTTGCAGAATGAAGCCCACAGTGTGGTCTGCTTCCTCCAAGCAGGCCAGACTCTGCACTGTCCTCACTGCACTGAGGCACTAGGAGGGGACAGACAAGGTAGGATGGGGTAAATCAGGAACCTGACCCCCTGATCCTGCCCTCCTACAGGAGGACAGGCCCTTGGCCCACAAACACAGAGGTGATGGCACAACAGGAATCTTTGCTAAGGAGCTTCTGAAGGGTTCTGAATGGCCCAACCCCTGCGACCCTGAGCCCCCACCCGTATGACTGACAGCCCCTTACCTGTAAGGTCCGCTCCTGGTGAACACCCACGAAGTCCAGGGCCTCGGTCAGGAAGTTGTAGCGCAGAGTTTTGAGGAGCCGCTCCATCAAAGACATGGATAGGCGGTAGACTCCTGGCCAAGAGGGGGCATCCACGGACTTCCGAGAGGTGCTGGGTGTCTAAGACACAAAGAGCAGACAAGACCAGGACACAGCACCATGAATCTAGCTGACAGGTACAGCGAGGCCTCCTAGCAACACAGCAGCTAAGGCAGCCTGGCTGCTTGGAGGAGAAAACCTGCAACGGTAACAGCCTGGTGACCAGCAGGGCCACAGAGGGTCCCAGGCCAGGGGTTACAGGGAAAGAGCACTCAGCAGAGATAGAAGAAGCCTGGGGTCTAGACTCAAGTCAGCCACTAACTAGCTACATGAGCTTGTCTTGCTAGAAATCAGTGTGGGGCAGGGAGGAGTCCACACCATCAGTGCATCACACAGGCCACCAAAGAGCAATTTCCCTTTGGTAAAAAACCAAAGACAAGGATGCTTTTCCACTGTAACTGCAGTCTGCTGCCAGTCCAGGCCCCCTGGCAACTCACTGGAACTCACCTGCACTGTCCCGTTGGAGCTAAGCTGGTACACACTCAGGAGGGGCAGACAGATGCTCTGGGTGATGCCAGCTCCAGCTACTGCTGTGGCTCCCTGGGAGGGAAAGACCAGGAACCAGATGGAACTGGGTAAGACCCACTGTTCCTG